TGATGTACCATGTATCTAACTGCTGATTCAAGCAACCAATTGAATTTTAGGAAGAAAAACAACTTTTAATTTATCAAAATTTATCAGATACAGTATAAAAATTTGATGGTATAAACAGGACTGAAAGAGTCAAGTTAGATTACAATGTGTATGTAACTTTAATAAAGCAAAATACTCTGTTGAAATATCTTGACTTTCTTCATACAATTTGAAATCAACCTTAATTACAGGAAGAAAAACAAGAGTATATATATGAAGCCAAAAATAACAAACATAGCATTTAAAAATTGGCAGTATGAAGAGCACTTAAAAGGGTCATTGTGTTAACAATGCCTAAGTGATGTGGATGGCATTCATTACACTAATATAAAATGACATTGCTTTTGGATTTCAGCCATATAACTACATTGTAAGGCCTCGTTCACATTTAATTTTATAAAGCTGTTTTTTTTTTAATGCTAATGAATGGAAACTGCACAAAACTATGTTTAGCCATGTCATATCTGAACAAGCCTTTAGTGTGCATTCTAATGTTTTAACATACTTTTTGGTACATTTGTATTTCAGTGTCGTAGCTAGTGTTAAAGCTTTTACCTCATGAAGGGAATCATACATGTTATAATCGCTGTGTATGCTACTTTATTCTATTCTATTCTTGAGTTAGTGGCCTTAGTTTTGTATCTGATAGAAATTTGTTCTTTTTATCAGTTATTTGAAGCCTGAAATATGGTATAAATATTTATAAATATAAAAGTGATACAAAACGTTTTTGTAAGGGTTGTTGGTTGATGTAACATGTTTTACTTGTAAATCTATACGTGGTCAGGTACTTACATCTTTTTAAGTGGCAACTAAAATTGTTTGAAGTGGCAACCAAAGTGTTTGAAGTGGCACAAAATCAATGTGTTCTAATTGGCACAAAATCAATCTCTCAAAATGATAAAATATGATAATTGGAAAGTTGCAATCAAAACTTATCTTGCCATTCTTTAGTATTAAATGATTTGATTGAATCTTAGCCGAACGATAAGTTATAATGTAAATGGAAGAAGAAGGTGAAGAAGAAGAAGTGTTAAATTCAGTATAGGCTTCAAGACTTTCATTTTGTCTTGAAAATGTATTTCATCTTGATATCTACTTAAAACTGGAATGTAGTTATACGGAAATGGCTGTGAAAAATGTAGTTTGATAGGCTAGACAACAGGCTACACAGTTTTTGATAAACATGTATTTGTACATTTCTGTTACAGAAAAGAATGATGTATGATTAAATGTTGAAGTGTATTAAGGTTCTGTAATAAAACGTACAATGTTTATCTGGATCAAAGAGTATATTTTTGAAATAAATAAATTTACCAGATCATACCGCTCGCAAACACTTTCAAAAACCAATATAATGCAACTTCGCTCCTTGTTGAATAAACATGCAGAATAGGGTATATAATTGCCTTTTATAGTTCTGAGACCCTAGGTTAAACGGGTTTTAGCATTGTAGACAGATCTTTATTAAAGTACTATTTTGAAAACAAAGTACAACAACTGTCTTGCATGCGTTCTGTTTCCATCCATTTTTAGATACATTCATGATTACCTGTGATGATGGAATGACGTTTACATCATCAGTGATTAAAAACTTTTAGGTACCTTACTTTTGATGGATTTAAAGGTACTATGTCTCATTTGCAGCCAACATCGAATTCTGTAGAACTTTGCAGGAATTATGAATATGTCACGTATGTGCTATATGTGAAATTCAAACGTTAGCAGTGTCCTATTATATTATTCAAATTATCCAAGGAAACCTGTTTACGTTCTAGACTATTGTCAGACACTATTGAGTGACTGACCGACTTCTATTTTTCTTTAGTAACAACATACATAAAATGAGCTGCAAAGGTACATGAGCATTTGTCTACATCAATAATCCACTTCTTGAAATGACTAAAATTAAACTGATTAAATCTCTGTGCAGCACACAACCTTTTTTAATGCGTACGTCCCACTTCCACAATTTGTCTTTTCCAGACTGTTTAACTGAGCCAGGCTGTAGACAGTGGTAGACTACCCCTGAATGGAGGTATAGTAAAGCGAATACCTAGGTCTAATATGAAGGGAAATACACAATTTTGTTATTCTTTTTAATACCAGATGTTATTTGCTGTTTGAATTTGTTATCTTCATAGCCTTTACACATTTATGAAAGAGCAGCTGCATTTTTATTATAATGAAGTTCGGTTTAAAAGGGCCAGCAAAAATAGTTGACAGCTTTAACATGAATAAACTCGAATTATTCTTCCGAAATATTTTCTATTGACCAGGAATTTCAAATTGTCATCTGGATGATAAACTGTGTATCTTCCTTTCTCATCATACAGTTACTCCAAAGAAGGAGCGAGTGTGAGAGAGAGAGGGGGAGATATACAGCGAGAATGACAGGGAGAAACAGAGAGAGAGAGAGAGAGAGAAAGAGAGAAATGAATATACACGGAGAGAATGAGAGAAACATGGAGAGAGAGAGAGAGAGAGAGAGAGGGGGTGGGGGGGGGGACGAAAGAAGTTAAAAGGATCTATCTATCTAAAGGTTAAATTGAGTATGAAATCACACAGTTCATAGAAAGGAAGTGTATTGAATATCAATCAAGCGATCCCAAATAATCGGGTCAACTTGATTTCTGTGAAAGAAATTGAAAAAAGCATTATTCGTGTATGCAATGGATTTTTCTCTTTCAAACAGTTTCGTCGAGGTGCACTCAGTCGTCTTGTTTTGACATAAAAATGTTGCACTGGTATACAGTGCAAATATATATATATATATATATATATAGTTGGTGATAGTGGTCAAATTTGAATAATTGCCATATAACACTGAATTCAACAACAACATCAGCAACAACAATTTGCATGTCCCACACACAAAAGTACTGAAAACGTTTAAAGGGAAAGTCTGCCCTGATAGTTAGTTTGAATAAAAGCGGAAATATGAGAAAAGCACGTTAGTGACAGTTTGACCAATATCCGATTAAAAATAGGAAAGTTGTGAGTTGTCTTCAGTGAAGCACAAACTGGCAACGTTATACTGTGACGTATTTTATGAGTTCCTCTTGAAACTGCTCTATACAGGAAATTCATTTTATTAGTCATTGATGATGGAATAGATTAGGTTCATACAGGGGTTGCATAAAACATGTTTGCAATAATGATATTCAAGGTGAATATATGATCTCAAACTTCCTAAAGATATATTTTTTTTAAAGTACATGCAAAAAAAGAAAAGAAAAATTATTGCTCACTAACTCCCTCCCACCCCCACCCCCTCGCTTTTCAAAGTATAATTTTCAGATTTGAATAGGGGGAACCATCGGAGGTGAAGAGGGCACTTATCTGAATTGAAAAGTAGTAACTTCTAGTACCTGAAAAGGGCAATTTACCAGAGATAAAAAAAAAGGGGCACCGATAAGAATGAAAAGGGCACATGTGAAAATAAAAGGTGAGCTTATCCGAGTTTAAAAGGGGTAGTTATTAATAGGGAAAGGGGCACTTCTTACAAAGGAAAAAGGGCATTTGTCAATGTAAAAGGAAAACCTCTAAGATTTGAGTAGGGCACTTCTCGTACCTGTAAAGGGGCACTTACTGGAGATTAAAAAGGGCACTTATGAGAATGGAAAATGAAAACTTATTGCAAATGAAAATGGAAACTTGTAGAAGAAAAATGGGCACATGCAAAAATAAAAGGGGCACTTATCAAAAGTCTAAAGGGGAAGGGGCGCTTTTACAGATCATTAGGGGCATTTGTCAAAGTAAAAGGGGGCACTTTTGGGGTCCTTAAAAAGGTGGGAGGGCACTATGCCTCCTGCCGCCCCCCCCCCCCCTGGAGCGCAGCCCCTGGTCTACCCGTAAAATACATGCACATACCTCATGATGAGATGATAACAGGGGAAAACGACACGATTCTAGTATTACCGGAAATAGCATATAATTTATTACAAGGTCCATGACCAATGCAGGAAATAGAAACTGTTTCCGTCCATAGATATCATCATAGCTCACTTATTATATCCGTAACAACCAACACAATTGTTTGCGAAAATAGAGCGGTACACAGTCCTATAGTACAATGCTTGATACAGTTCTTCATAGATAAGAAAAAAAGAAAAAAAGCTTCTGTATATTTGTATTCAATACTAGTCCTTAACAAGTACCATCAGGGCCCCATCTTATAAAGAGTTAATATTAATCACAACTTACTTGCGATTGATATCAATCGCAGCTATGAACATAAGATATAGGAGACAACAAACTTGCGATGGATTTGAGGACTGGCGATTGATTTGGAGCAATCACAACTCTTTATAAGGCGGGGCCCCGATCGCAGTAAACATTCCTCGCAATAATTACAGCATCAGTATCATTGGAATTGAGGATAACAAGTACTATCTTCATATTTTTGTTACTATCAATAGACCATAATAGATGAATGGTTTACTTTTTCCATTTATTCTCAAATCCATGGATATTCATTTGGATAGGAAATGACACAAAGGTTAGAACTTTTGTCCCGTATTCTACTAAAATTAAAACCCGGCACTGGGTTTAAAGTGCCTCTAAAGTTTAGGGAGCCCCAAATTTGCCCACTATTTACCATTTGCAGGCCAAAAAATTAATAATCATCGATATCGCAGGTTGATGAATTTGTTAATTCGTCTGTTGCTTTCATGTTGGGAATTACTATGAGCACCCTTTAAGAAAACGATGAGCCTGGAAATCGGAAATAACTTGTTGCTCTCAAACATTAACGTACCACCCCTCCCCCCCCCCCCCCTCTGGTTAGTGGTGTTAACACACAAGGAGGAGTACATTGTCTCGAATTTGATACATAGCATAATCGAATTCCTTTTCAATTTCAATTTTAATTTATTTATGTTTCCAACAAAACATTACAAATTATTTATAAACATTTACAACAAATGTAGAAATACATATTGGAAACAGAAGGGTCCACTAAAAAACAATGCTTGTACAAGTGTGAACACCTCAAATGATACTTAGGAATAATAAGTAATTAAATTAACAAGTCCGTAACTACACAAGGAACTACATAATAGGGGATGTCAACAGAGACGAGAACGAGACAAGACAGTACTTTACATGACAAAGATGGAAGAACTCGGTCATATTACACAAAGAGTAGTCAATGCCAAAAAAAAGAAGTGATATAGATCGGGGGTACAGAAAATAAAACAAAATGATGAGCTGCATGTGGGATTGAGAAGAAGATGAGGAAATAGAAATGCGCATCAGTCACAACATTTATGTACTGGAATAAGATCACAGGCCATGCAAAGCTGCTCCGTCCTACCAGGATATATAGCCCTTATGGATATAACTCCAAGCGCAATCGTTTTTTTAATGTGTATATAGAAGTCCCTCGATATATTCATTGGACTTCACTATTGGGCACTGCGTCTCACTCTCTGTGTTTCTGTGATATTGACAATGTCCGGGGATTCAATACTTGGATGGTTTAGGATGTTCCTGTCACTTACTCTGATATGGATTCTTTTATCTACAACAGGTTCGTATGAAACTTACTGGATGTTCCTAATAATCTATTCTAAAAGAACGGGATGGCCTATGAAATTCATATGTGTCGACACTTTTTTATTTGTTATCACAAGTCAGTCAGTTTTTCGAGAACGAGAAATTTGGAATGTTTGGAAGTTCATACACTGTAATTGGTAATTTTTTTTTCCTCCTTCAAGTTAGTAAGGCTTTCACTGCATACAATTCGTTGGACTGAACTTACAATGACAATGTCATTCCCCTCTTATCTTTCCCCTCGTATTCACATCTTTCAATATCCCCTTTTCTTTTAATTTTACTTCCCCATCTCTCTCTCTCTCTCTCTCTCTCTCTCTCTCTCTCTCTCTCCTCTCTCTCTCTCTCTCTCTCTCTCTCTCTCTATCTCTCTCCTCAGGTACCTTCCTCTGTACCTTTATCTCTTCATGTTCCCAAAACCTCCGGTAAAGGGTTACTTTTCACGCAACAAAGTCCGGTTTGTAATACACATAAAATAGGACCGTATTGACTTTTCACACCGGACTTAGGGGGTGCTTTTAAAGGGAGGGAACATGCATACGCGTACCCTAAACAACACTAAGTGTGTGTGGGGTGGGGGGGGGGGGGGGGGGGGGAGGGGGGAGGGGGGGGGGGGGGAGGGGGGGGGGAGGGGGGGGGGGGGGGGGGGGGGGGGGGAGGGGGGAATGATTAATTCCTCGGCATTGCCAAGTATCCATTTAATACAACTGAGGGTATGGAGAAATGTGGGAAAGACAGAAGGTCCATGGTCTAAATATGTAGGCACTGAGCGAGGACCGAATCCGGGACTCTCGTATGAGAGTCAAGATCATTTACCAACATACCGCAGTTCTCCCACTCTATATAAGCGCTCCAACTGTATGATGGGTAAATAAGTGATACCAAGTGACAATATTTAAGTTGGAATAATATACGGATCAGAGAGGTTGCTATGCTTAGGTCACATATAAACCGGGCCCCGTACGATTTTCCCTACCCGGTGGCTTGCCGTGGATTTAGAGACCGTACGGGAACCTTCCGATTTTCATTTCTGCGGCATGTGTGGTCACATATTCTGCGGTGCACGGGAGGTGCCCGGTGAGAATTGGTCGAGTGAAATGCAAGGCGCCCGTAAGGGTGCAGGCAGGGTGCCGTCCGGTATTAAAGCTTACGGGCTCCGTCCGATGAGCAGGTGCACCCATGGCTCCCGGAAGATGCCCTGCCAGGGCCCTGCCGGGGTCCTCAATGCACCTGGGCGGGTGCCGTGCGGTGCACTGAACTATTGTGTCCTCTGACATCCGCACCTTTTAAAAAAATCCTTGATTTAGCTCATGCTGCAATGATTTATATAAACCTTTACGTCAGTCAGGAACTCCATTACTTTTACAAGCGATCGCCTGTCTGATTATCAAGATATTTAAGATTGAAAATCGAAATCAAATGTTGCGTTTGCCAAACGGTTTTCATAACACTACAGTCTATTGGGGAAAACGAGTAAGGTAAAACCGGTCACTCAAAGGTTTTTACTTTTTTTAAGGCACTTCTTGATCATTTAGAAGCGCAATTTTTTAGGGACTTTCTACGGCCTAACGGTCAGATTAAAACACTGGGAGAATTGGGAGCAACCAACTCAGCACCACGGCGCCCGTGCGGCTTAAAAAACTGTCCCGGCGCCCGTCGGAACTTTACGGCAGCCCCATAAGATGCAATAGGAGCGCTGATCTTAATCTAGGAAAGTGCAAGTTGGGGAGGGGTTGGGAGGTTGGACGAATCGTTACAAAGGATAGACAGTCAGCTAGCGCTTAGAGACTTCGGCGGTAACCGTCTTTATTATTATTATTATTATTATTATTAACTACCAAATGATCTGAGATCTAGATTAGCCTCCCTTTTGGGTAATTTGTAGGAGAGGAAGGAACAAACGTCTATCAGTTGAATGAAATTAATGAAAGGGACTAGAATTAGAGAAGGTGAAAGGGAGTAATGTCATTTCGCTTCTAAATCTCCCTTTCAGTTGTCTTCTCTATTTCCCTCCTTTTTTAATGGGCAACTCGAAAGCGGCGATGGAGGGAGGGAGGGGCGGGGGGCGGGCGGGGGGGGGGGGCTAAGGTGAATCCCTACCGTGAAGATTACCGTTTTGATTTACATCTTATTATCTTTCAGTTGAATGTCAGGAGTGTTCTACATCAGGGTTGAATGTGTTTGGCGGCTATCAGTATGTCTTCTACCATGGGGGCCAAAGGATATTCTCTGCCACACGTGCATTTTGTCAAGGCTTAGGGGGTGACATGCCAATCATTACATCATCTGAACAAAATGTACGTATATACTTTTACGGTCTATAACATGAGGTATTTATCAGAGATTTTATTGAGCAAAAATTGTTATTAAAGGTAAAGACCAGTTTTGGAAACGCCCCCTCTAAAAAAAAATGAAATGGAAGCTCTTATTACATTATGTGAAAGAATATGTTTTGACTAAAAAGTGATGATACAAATTTTGACGGAAAACCGCCTACTAATTGATATATTTGGTAAAATATTATATCTATTTGCCCGGATAGATGTGTGGCACATGTCGCGTAGTCCCATATACATCTTTCTGTGTACAGTGCTTGTAACTTAACCAAGACTGGGCAAAATTTCTAATCATTTTGATGATTCCAGAACCTTGCAGTACACACCAATACTTAGATGATCAACCTTTTCTGATCGATTCCACAACGTTTCTTTCACAATTAATGCAATCGCATGACCAGAACTGATCTCACATCTAAACCTTATATACAGTTAGTTTCCTAATGTAACGTGGCAAGTTCCTTTCAACCGTTGCATACTAACCATGAAGTAAAAGGAATTTTAGCAACTTGTTATTCTTTAGACCAAATGGGGCGGTGAAATATTGCCGAGACTGCTAGCAAAAAATTAATCATAATTCTAGGCCAGTTTCGTAATGCAGTCACAGACCTTTAAATCGCGTCACGTAATCGGAGGGTCGGACAAACCAGCTTCCTGGACAAACAAAGAACTCGCGGTGTGTATAGCAGCCTGCACTCTGTGTGCGTACAATACATACTTTGTTCGTGGGGTCAATCTGCTTATTGTATATTATGCCATGCGATTGTATTGTTTGCCAATTTGGCTAGTATATTTTGTCGGTTCTAGGACACGTACCCCATGGACAACCACCCCCCGGATAACCACTCCCAGTCAATAACCCCCCTAGGACAACTACCCCCGGAGAACTACCCCCTAGGACAACTACCCCCTGACAACTACCACCCGGACAACTACTCCCAAGGTAACTACCCCCTACGTCAACCATCATCTAGAACAACTACCCCGGACAACTATCCTATAAGGGGTAGTTATCCGGGTGGTAGTTGTCCGGGGTATGTAGTTGCCCGGGGGTAGTTGTCCTAGGGGGTAGTTGTCTGGGGGTAGTTGTCCGGGGGGTAGTCGTCGTAAAGGATGGTTGCCCTAGGGGGTAGTTGACTGGGGTGGTTGCCTCCAGGGGTTGATGTCCAGGGGGTAGGTGTCCGGATACGTATTTTGTCATTTGTTTGTGTGTACATTATTGAGCAGATGGCTCTTAATTAAATCTAGGTACAGCCCCCATCACACCAAACTAGTTCTCACTACGTTTTGGAACCGTCCTTGAAGATCCTAAAACGGGTTGTGGTTTGAGTAGAATTCGTAAACAATGTCTATAATACGACCCTAGTACGTTCATAAAGAGTCCTCAATACGTCCATCTCGTCTGTGCCCCGTCCCCAGTCAGTTCATATCAAGTTCAGATCGGGTAAATTTGCCATTTCCAGGCAGTTCAAGCCAGACCGTATATACCGTTATTAATTAGTTCTACCTTGTTCCCAATACGACCAAACCTATTTTAAGAAGTTCAGAGACAGTTCAGCTCGTCCCCAACTCGTTCGTAGTGTGTGTAGAATCACGTCCTGGCTCAAGGGTTATAAAACCCCAGCGCGTTCTTGCCATTCCCTATTCCCGTTCAACTTCAACGAATCAAGCTTTGCAAATCAAGACATTAAAATGAAGCCCCAATCACACCAAACTAGTTCTCACTACGTTCTGTAAAATATTGCCAAACGCGTGCTCAAACTGTGTGCGAACGCAGTGAACGTAGAAGCAACTGTTTACGATCTGTAATAGAACCATCTGTTAGTGCAAGAAATCTTGGAGTACAGTTCGATTCGAATTTGAATATGAGAGAGCACATCACAAATGTCTGTAAATCAGCATACTACATGATCTATAATCTCAGACGTATTCGTAAATATTTAGATAAGGACATTACGAAAGATATTGTACATGCATGTATCACCAATAGCAGAAGCGGATCTAGAGGGGGGGGGGGGGGGGGGGGGGGGGGGGGGGGTTAGGGGGGTTGCAACCCCCCCCCCAAAAAAAAAAAAAAATCCGGGGACCATTTTTTAAAATCTTATCTTTTTTTTTAAACTTGTAATTTTATTTTATTCTATTTCTATGTATTTATTTCATTTATTATTATTATTATTATTATTATTATTATTATTATTATTATTATTATTATTATTATTATTATTATTATTATTATTTCTTTTTGGGGGGGAGGGGGGGGGGGGTTGGGCGAACAAATGTCACAGAGTCCCTTGCCCCCCCCCCCCCATCAGCTTTTTTGAGGACACGGGCCACCGCCGAAGTGACAAGCTAGGCCAGCGTTGCCGATTCTCATCCCCAAAATCCCCACATTAAAAAAAAAAAAAAAAAAAAAAAAAAGGAAAAAAAAAAAAAAAAAAAAAAAAAAAAAAAAAAAAAAAAAAAAAAAAAAAAGAAAGAAAAAAGAACGCACGCTGGAGAGAAACCCTTTCAAGTGCAAATATTGTGAGAAGATATTCAACTCATCTGGTAACTTAACCAAACACATGATAACTCTGGATATAACTGTGTATTTAACTGTTACTTGATTTAAAAAGACGTTATCATGCACTGCTTTTTATGGTCTCCATTGTGTTAATAGATGCCAGGAAAACATCACTTACGGGGTTCAAATAAACACCCCCAAAAAAATCGGCTCGCCGCTTCGCGGCTCGTGGACGATGCTCTGCATCGTCATTATTGGTCAACCCCCCCCTGAGCAAAAAGCTAGATCCGCCCCTGAATAGGCTGGACTATTGTAATGGTCTACTGTATGGGATCCCTGACTGTCAAATAGTGAGATTGCAACGGGTTCAAAACACCTGTGCAAGGCTGATCTGTGGTTGTTCTAAATTCACACGGATCACCCCAATTTTAAGAAATCTACATTGGTTACCAGTACGCCAGAGAATAACATTCAAAATCTTGCTGATTGTATATAAAGCACTTCTTGGTCAAGCTCCCACTTATATCAAAGAACTGTTGAATTTCAAACCTAATCAACACAATCGCAACTTGCGCAGTTCCCGAGATACTTTGTTGCTACAGATCCCATCTATCAAAACAAAAATAACGCTAGGTGATCGAGCATTTGCTTGTGCAGCCCCAAAACTCTGGAATAACTTGCCATTTGAAGTCAGGAAATCACCATCTGTAAACGTCTTTAAGTCAAAACTGAAAACACTTCTTTTTAATTAACTGTACCGTAAATCTAAGCATATCAGGAGCTCTTGTAGCGCAGTAGAATATATACCTAATGTTGGATAGTTTCTGCGCTTTATAAATGTACTATTATTATTATTATTATTATCTGTTTAAGAACTTTATTGACGGGCTCGGACTGGCTTGGACGAAAAGAGTGCTCTGAAACTTTGAGCCTGTTCAAAATTGTCCCCGTCCTGCAATTATACGGACTAACAACGTACTTAAAACAAGATGAACGTACTACGAACGGAATTGCCGTACTTCAGTCCTACTAGGAACGTGTTACGAACTAGTGAAAATGCTTTGGACGTATTTGGAAGAACTAAAACTAGTTAAGAACTGGTTTTTACTGATTGCAGAGGGCTTGGACTGTTTGGAAATTGCAAATTTACCCGATCTGAACTTGATATGAACTGACTGTGGACGGGGTACAGACGAGCTGGACGTATTGAGGACTATTTATGAACGATCTAGGATCGTATTATAAACATTATTTACACAATCTACACCGACCATTACCCGTTTTTTACGATTTTCTAGGACGGTTCCGGAACGTAATGAAAACTAGTTAGGTGTAATGAGGGCTTAGCTTCTGCTAATTGATGCTCGACCACAGCACGTTGTAACACGTTCCTAGTAGGATCGAAGTACGGCAATTCCGTTCATAGTACGGCAATCAGTCCGTTTGTAGTACATCCTCCTCGTTTTAAGTACGTTGTCACTCCATCTAATTGCAGGACGGGGACAATTTTGAACAGGCTCAAGTTTTAGAGCACTCTCCCGTAGAGCTAGTTCGAGCCCGTCCAGGAAGTTCGTAAACAGTTCGTAAACAGTTGATACTACGTTCAACTCCGTTTGCACACAGTTTGAGCTCGTTTGGCAACATTTTCCAGAACGTATTGAGAACTAGTTCGGTGTGATGGGGGCTTACACTATATTTATCCTTGAAGTCGTCTGCTTATTTTCCTGTGATACATATTCATTTCAGCAGAATCTAACTTATCGTCAGACTGGTAATTTACAGTACTAAGATGAGAGAAAAAAAAGGAGTCAGTTTCAAACTTGAATATTGAATATCTTTGAGATGTGATTTTTCTTCACTAATGACATTTAATGTGTTAAATCGTTGATTTAAAGGCAAGAATAATGGAAAAGCATTGCTGTATACGGAACGCGCAATAGCGATTCACGCTATCATAATTATGCAGAAAGACCGGACATGTGAATGCTCGACAAATGCAAGACGTGGTTTAAAGGCACGTAGAAGAGAAGAATTTGATGTGGATAACATAACAAAGCACACATTCATTTGTTCTGAAAATTGTTAGGGGAATAAAATAAAAGGGACCCATAGAAGAACATCCCAATCCACTTCCAGCCGAGGCGACTCGGTCGGAAAAACATCTTGCAGCCAAACCTGTTCGCCCAAGTCCCCGGGACGCGTCTTATTTTTTTCGTATGCAAGCGAGCCCAGATTGAAACAGAGGGAACGAGGTAGAACTACATTAATAACGGGTTTAAACTGGCTACGGACTGGCTTGGACTGTATGGAAATGGCAAATTTACCCGATCTAAACTTGATAATGAACTGACTGTGGATGGGATACAGACCAGATGGACGTATTGAGGACTGTTTATGAACGAGCTAAAATCGTATTATACACATTCTACTCCGACTATAACCCATTTTACGATTTTCTAGGCCGGTTCCAGAACGTAGCTAGAACTATTTTTGTGTGATAGGGGCTTTACTCATGAATAATTCATAAGGTAATAGGTCAGCAGGTACGAAAAAAATCTTCGCCGACGGGCAGGCTAATCATCTAAAGATTCTTTCCTTGGTGTATCCCGTGGTCGAAACTCCTCTTTCTATAAGAAAACCTTGCAGCTGCCTCACCCCCTACTTTCTCCGACTAAATTTCGCACTAATGGGCCTACTTCTGACGCTCATGATTTTCATTTATTGAAGAATTGTGACAATGAGAAATATCTAATACGTATAGTTCGGTTTAGTTCGGACTATAGCGCAAAGTATCTTACTATATACGAACCATTGATCACTGGTCACGTGACAACCTAAAATAAAACAGGAGAAAACCGGAAAAGGTGTATTAATGTGTATTAAGGCGTTTAAGAATTGTCAAAATAAAAAGGAATATTCAATTTATCAGAGTTCGATTATAACCCTACTATTTCAAAAGACAGTAATTATAAACTGTTTTATTTAAATCTATATCAGATATAATTATGACACAAAATTTTCTGGTAAAACCGAACAAATGAAATGAAAGACAGAGATCATCAAATGAATCTGGTAGATATTTATTATGGGCTGTCTTATATACTTTTGTTCGTTTGCCAAAAAAATATACACATAACAAAAATTGTCTTCCCTGAATTTCTCCGGTGGACAAGGAAAAGAAAACAGCGTCAAATATGTTATTTTCTCATTTGTATATAACATATTATTCTTAATTGTTTGACTATAACAAGTGCAAATTAAAACTTACATGTAATTCTAATACTATAACCGAAGTACTCACTTGGCATAATCATCGTTAGCTTTTGAGTAATAACGGGGATGGTGCTTATGCCACATTGATGTAAACATCCAAATTCATACATGTTATATTTATAACATAAACAGGATTTCATAGCCGGGAAATTATCAACAAATAATAATAAAGGTCACTATTACATCGGCTTAGAAGACTTGGATAAGGATGGTACATACAGATGGATTGATGGAACGGACTCTGGGTATGTATCAACTATCATCGTTATATAATGCAATTAATTTTCAATTCGTTTTTATCCCTTAATGATTTATTCATTACCGGACAATATATGTCAGTAGGTAGAATGATAGGCATACGAGCAGGGAACGGTGCACTAGCCATTTAAAAAGGAAGGTGGTAAGCACTTTTCACCCTAACGAATTTAAACAAAGAAAACACGACAAAGACCGACTCTGCAGTTAAATGAGAAAATTAATGTGAAACCTTAAAGCTTTATTTAAATCATTTTGAAATAAAAATCGAATCTATGTCATAAAACTTCATTAATCTTTTAACTATTGCAAATGAATTCCATTTTGACCAAATCTTCATATTCTAGATTTTTCTGAGTCATGCAGAATCTTCCCTTTTTGCATGATAAATTGAATTAAGTCACGTCTCACAAATTTCAAATGGCTAATGGACAATTATTGTTGAAAGCCAAATTTATGTAGAATGCTGAAAGAGTGTCACGCAACTAAATCACCTATGTGAACCATGCCTTTTTATACCCCAAAGAAAAAAATGAAATTAGGTTTTCTTCACTAAACAAATTTGGTATCATTATTATTGATCTGTTATCAATTGTTTCTCATGCTACCATAGTTTACAATTAAATACTTGATCTAAACTCACAAGTATTTCAACGAATGAATGAAAAACTCCGAGTAAGATGCTAAAAACCAACATTTAAATGCCCTAACAACTTTAGTCATAGACACATATTAATTTACCAAAAGATTCAATGTACTTTTTTCCAAAGACGCTTGAGTCGCAATGTTGTAGAGCTGTGTCTCACAAATACCTTCACTGTTTCTGTGGAAATTATGATGTGCATAAATATAAGTTTTATTGTTAATCCTATTTGATATTAATAATTTCCAAGGTACATGTATACCAACTGGGATACTCCTCCATATACCCACTCGAACCAACTATCCGGTCCACCACCTTACTGTGCTGTGATGAGATCTCGATTGAGCCTCACTGACCCAATACATGGACGATGGAATCGAGTATCATGCGCATCAAAAGACGACATATCTGTCAAATACCTATCGGTAGGTATTTCAAGCCGTATTAAGTATTCACCATGTTTAGTCTAATTCTGAAGGAGCGTGTAAAATAACATCCTGCTATTTTGTTTTAAATCCTTATACTCATCATTGGCAGACTGTTCTTCATGCAAATATTTACAATCGAGTTTCTTTTAATATTTTTTTTGTCCAGTTTTTAGCTACGGCGTGTGAAATTTAAATCATTTGTTTATAGTAAGATCGGAAACATAGAGAGAGAGAGAGAGAGAGAGAGAGAGAGAAAGAGAAACCCAATGCAACAATCTTAAATAATCAGTAATGAACACATACAAAAATGAGACCAATTACACGCAACTATAATTATTATTGAGAATAATAACAAAAGTGACGAACAAAATAATCGTACAAGATATGTCAATACAGTTATATCATAAACCTTTTTGATACTATATAACGATCAAATGTATTTTGCCTTTTTTATACACCCACCCCTGCTCTAGACGGGCTGTCAGTTCTGTAACCATCCAACATTAATTACAAATGATACGAGCCGAAAACATTATCAAAATTGATAAATTCAATTATTATGTAAATCATATACCTGATTACCCAAGATTCAAGGGGTCATAGTTCACTTACACTCTTCTACGTGATCTCATAACATATTTACTGAAGTGAATGTTGATTCCTAACAAATAATGAGTAATGTCAACAATATTCCGCTATATCATTTCGATGATGTTCTTGAAGCCTGGAAGTTTTTTGGTCCATAATTATATTACTCAAAAAGTAATTTTAAAGAGTATTCTTGCTGTAATTAATTAATACATCATGTTCATGCTATACGAATATGTACCATGCTCTTTGGAGGGCAGGCGCGGATCCAGGGGGGGGGGGGGGACCGAGCGGGCCTTGCCCCCTGGCCCTCCCCCAAAATTGTGACCAGAAATTTACCTTTTTATTTTTGCTCAAGGGGGGGGGGGGAGGGGGATGTTGAGTAAAATAAAAACCCACTCACTATGCTACCCCCCCCCCCCCCCCCCCCCCCCCACTGAGCAAAATATCGGCCGGCGCGATTTTTCAAATTTTCGGGATCAAAGTAGAAAAAAAAATAGTGTTCACAACAGGATTCGGGGCCCAGTCAATTGTGATTGGTGCAAGTCAGTTCCCTACTCATATATATACATGCAAGCAGGTAAAGTGACAAAAGACTGACCTGGGACAGCCACAAAAGAGAGTGACGGGCCCTTGGAACGAATCTATTCTAAATAATATACATTGTAGTAAAAAAAAGAAAAAAAAGAAGAAGATTATCAATGGATAAAAAGCTTGACTTACATTTGTTTTTGAATGAACTTAAATAACTGCATGATATAACATTAATATTCAGAGAATTCCATGTGCGAGGGCCTTGATGACTAATCAACCTCAACGTGCTGGAATCACAGCACAAAGAAGAATCGTCCTCAATATGTAATAGCCCACAGTCTACCTGTTAGAAATACGTGTTACATTGGTGGGATGAATTAAAGGGAAACCTAACATTGATAGCAAACTACTAGACAACAAAAGGCATGAAAATCAGAGAAGCAGACTGGGGAAAGTTAAGAATAAAATAAGACGAACAATGGGAAAGTTATGAATGTTTGTAATGCAAAATCACTATAGGTATTTTGGATCTTCAATTTGGCTGAATCTGTAATGTATCTGTGATGTAGTGGCGAACAACTTCCCCATTTGTTCCAACACACAAAATGACTAAAATGTCAATTGTATACAAATTCATGTCTCAAGACGGTCTGTTCTAAATAGAATATACAATGGTATGCTTTCGTTATATATTATTCGTAGTGCCCCAAGGGAGGAAGAAGAAACGATAAAAAACAAATGTTAATTATTTTTGTGTACACGACAAACGGGAGAGTATTCCAAAGACCAAATTGCCATTTTGAGATTCGAACTTATTCAGTTATCTAACTCTTCAAATATTTGTAATTCTTCTATATATTATTGGTCCGATTTTCAAACTGTCACCATTTTAATGTTTGTTTGTTTGCTTTCATACAAATTAAGTTATTACACGGGTTGGCTTGCCCTTAAATGATCTGTACTGTGCATGAATACATTGCCAATCGCTATAAAAATCTTACTTGTTATACTTGTCAACTGTTATTTGACATTATGGATTTGATAGCCTATTCAATATTTTAATTAAGTTTTCAGAAAAATTAAAGTTCAGTAGCTGTTATGCAATTTAAGCTTAATGTTTTATTTAATTCTATATAAACAGAAGATGGTTGTAGATGGCAAGAGCTCGGCGAATCTCAGTATCTCATCAAGTTCACACCTCATGCAACGCCAAGTGCTGCCAGGGAAACATGTCAAAGTTATGGCGGTGATTTGGCTATCATCAAGACAGCCGAAGTCAACGTAAGTCTAATGACACATTTTAAACAATATTCACACATTCAAGGTGATTAAGATAATTCAGGAAAGCATACGCCACAGGGCAAGCTACTAATATGTTTACCCCCGATGAAGAGACCGCACCTTTTTCTCAGAAATTAATGTATGTTGTCGCTTTCAGGTGGTTCGTGGAGGGGGTGGGGGGGGGGGGGGTAAATAAAGGCATGTTTGCTTGTCTGTATAATAGGTTTCAATGGCATTTGAAATATGTTTTCTTTCGAAAAATGCCTTTTGTATGGTTCTAGGACAATTACCCCCTGGGCAATCATCCCCCGGAGAATAACCCCCCGGAAAAGTACCCCCGAAGGACAATTACCCCCCGGAAAATTACCCGAGGAGAATTACCCCCCAAGGACAATTCCCCCCCCCCCCCGAGGATAACTAGCCTCAATGACAATCACCCCCGAGAAATTTGTAACACTGTGACGTATAATGCGAGCTTATCTCCAAACTGCTATTTACAGAAAATTTAATGAACTTTTATTTTGTTGTTATTTATGAAGTTCATTTTAGTCTTTTCCAATTATTCAATACGATGTGGGGGGGGGGGGGTGGAGTTTGCCCAATTCCCCCGTAGATTTGCTACCGAGTAAAAAACAGAAATTTAACAATACATTGCGCGCGGATGAGTACGCGTTACAGCCTCTCTCACGTCCAACAATGGCTCAGCAAAGAAATTAGGATGTAAGATTTCATTATTTTATGCATACTTTTTTTAATCAACTGATCTTGTATTTGTCTTTGTATTTTTAATGGGCCCTCATCCATGATTCGTTATCTTTATATTTGTGATGTCGTGCTGAAATATAATATGTTTTCTTGTACGTTAAAACTAATTTGAAATAGAAATTGTCTTCAAGTTATTATATACGGTGCGATGTCAAAAGAAAATAAATATCTGCTCTCTGGTAATTCATCTCATTTGATTTTTTTTTTGTAACTCGAGTGCAGGGTTTTTTAACCGGGGTGCCGCAAGAGAATGTTAGTTATCCATGTCTTTCTCCCTTGCTCGCACCCGAATATATATATTATATTTCGAGATTACAATACCACACTCATTACGTTTAAAACATGATAAATAAGGGCTACGAGAGGCCCGAATATCCTCATATTCGTGTACCAAAGTCATTGACCGAATACTTTACTTTTTATTCATGTACATTCTGCGGCAAGGTGCCCGCATACAGTACTTTAAAGGTACTTTGTCCCATTTGCAGGCCAAAAATATGAAAAGGTTAAATTCCAACGGCTTTTGAAAGATAATACTAATCTAGAACCTCCCTAACAAAAAAGGCGGAGGGGGGGGGGGGCTGCTGTTCAGCTCATTTTATGTATGTTATTGCCAAAGAAAAAAACACAGTCAGTCAGTCAATAGAATCTGACAGTGAAGTCTAGCAAGTAAACGGGTTTCCTTGCATAATTTGAATACTAGGACACTGCTAACGTTTAAATTTTACAGATAGGACATACATGACATATATTCTAATTCCTGCAAAATTCTACATAATTTGATGTTGTCTGCAAAAGGCACAAAGTATCTTTAAATCGTTTCTAGTGTGTTGATTACAAACTAATTTTTTTACCAGTTTGAAAATGTCTTCTCTTTTTTCTTTTCTTAAATGTGCCCATTCTTGTGTACATAGCACTTGACGAGAGCCAGAGTCATGCAAAATAAATAGTATGTGAAGACTTTGGGATTTGGGAAAAACTTTTAATTTCTTAAGACGGTACCGTGACTAACACAAATTTGAAATAACGCTGCTCCAGAGAAATGTATTTCTATATGCATTTTGAGAAGCGCTGGACAATTACCTAATAATCCTTCGTGGAAAACAGCAACCGCATTGGCGTTGCATACATTATAATTAAAGGGAAATGTGCAGTAATGAGGAGGAGAGCGGGTTATAGTATTTAAACGAATATGGGTTCATGCAGAGGATCTTATGGGCTCGTAACCATCTCTCAATTTGACAGATCGTCTTTTGCTATTAAATCCTGATTGTCCACGAGTGGTAGTTGTCCTCGGGTGTAGTTTTCCTAGGGGCTAATTGTCCTCGGAGATAATCATCCTGGGGGGGGGGGGGGTAATTGTCCTCGGGGGCTAATTCTCCGGTGGGTAATTTTCCGGGGGTAATTGTTCTCGGGGGGTAATTGTCCTCGAGAGGTAATTGTCCTCGGGGGTAGTTGTCCTCGGGGGTAATTCTCCGGGGGGTAATTTTCTGGGGGGGAATTGTCCTTGGGGTTAGTTTTCTGGGGGGGGGGGGTAATATTCTGGGGGTGTTTGCCCAGGGGGTAGTTGTCCTGATACGGTTTTATAGCATCATTGACAACTTACTTTAAAGGTTGAATTGCCTTTTCAACTGATGTGAGTCGTTAAAACACAAATTAATTCAATTGTATATGGTATACCAAAAATCATGTGTTTCAAGATTCAAGTCGAATCATGCACACATTGTTACTATTCCCTTCACACTTCATCTTTATAATAAAGAACGATTAACCTTACAAGGGCTTATAATGACTTACTTATTCAATGAAAATTCAAATATTTATTATTTATTTTGCTTTTAATACAGACATTTCTCAAAGAGCTACTACCTCCATGTGCATCGTGTCGTTTATATTTCTGTTACTGGTTCGGGCTTCGGAGGAGTAGCGATGGAGATTTTACCTGGCTGGATGGTACTACACTCGAGTATGTTCCTAATGATTTGTTTACTCTGTCAAGATCGGTCAAGATTGATTTAATCTGTACTTATAATTCTCCTCAAAACACTTTTCATTTAAATGTATCCAGTGTCCATTATTAATAGCATATACTTAATATCTGCTTACTTTGTAATATCTATGTTTAAAATGAATATCAAGAAGATGGAATATAAACAGCTCTGCTCAACAATAGTACATCATGATGTTACGACCAGATTTCAGCTCTACTTCTTTACCTGCTACATACTTACAATATTTATGTATCATATCCGAAGTTGAGGGGGAGGGGATAAAGTTAATGTGAATTAAAATTTGAACTCAAATTCAGTTTAATGATTGATATTCAAGCCTCCATGGTTATTCTCAATATTACACGAAAATGAAATAATAATGATAATTACAATGATGATTAAAAAAAAAAATTATATTAATGATGATGATGATAAAAATGATAATGATAATAATGATCATAATATTGATGATAATAATTACAATGCTACTACTACTCCTGATATTATTATTAATCATAATCATGATACTTATTATTAATAATGATCATAATGTGAAATTAATTTGTTATCTTTTTCCTCTAAGGTACATGTATACTGATTGGTACAGGGGCGAAGAACCCAATGAGGCTGACTCCTGGGGTTGTCTTGGTACGCGTGGCAGCCCTTCATGGTATGGCAAGGATCCACGGCTATCTTCACCGTACATTTGTGAGCGTACACGAGGTATGAATTCTGATAACTAATATTAATTGTGTTCTGGCGACAGTTGCTCCGGGCTATATTTCAACATACGTGTTAATAATAATAATAATAGCTCGTTCTTATATAGCGCTTTTCAGGACTGGAGGCCCTCTCAAAGCGCTTTACAGATAAGTATATTATTACCCTGGTCATTGGATTCAGGCTTTGACCAGCACACAATGTATGTGTATGCACATTCTCCACTCCCTGGGGAGCATTCCAGCCAGGCGTCATTTTTTACAAGCGCACACTTGCTAATCTAACCACATTAGCTTTCGCATCCTACCGGGTACCCATTGAACACCTGGGTGGAGAGTGGCAAATGTAGATCAATGTCTTGCCAAAGGACATTAGTGCTGCGGCGGGACTTGAACCACGGACCTTGTGATCCACAGTCCGGTGACGTATCCACTCGTCCACAACACCTCTAAGTGTTGTCTCGGGATCATAAGGTAATTGGGTTTTAGGTTAGAGTTAGGTTTTGGGTCGGGGTTAGCATTAGGGTAAAGTGCTGAAGTTTGGAATTCGATTAGTGTAAGAAATCTACCGAAGAGCAATTGTCGCTGGAGTATGTTTCGTACAAGCAGAATTTGAAATGCTCCTCAGATATTTTGAATATTGCGCTACTCCTTAAACGAAATCCGTTATCATCAAAACATAATAAAAAACATTTTTATCAAACCATTGTGGGATGTATGGCTGTGGTAGAACTTTTCTTTCATAACTTTCTACAAAAATGCCACTTCAACTGTTTGATTCATGTAAACAATATGCATTGAACTCTTTCGTATTCCTACAGCAACGAAATAAACAGTTTATAATTTATCTTTCAGCAATTAATTGCTGACCCCTTGTATTTGAACATTACAAAATTATCGTCGAACTGATTTTGTAGAATCAGAGAAAAGTCGACACAATTTCGTTGGTATCACAATCTTTCTCATCACGATAAACTGTCAAATAGAAATTCTGTTTTATTACAGTATTTGATGGAAGCAGTGAAGTATCATTTGGAGGTCTAGATTATTTCATCTCTCCGTCATGGCTGGCTCGGTCTTTCTCAGATGCACGGACCTATTGTCAGAATCATGGGGCGGATTTGGCACTCATCAAATCACACGATATCAACGTATGTTCAAGTATACTTCCTTTCTTTCAGCTATTGATATCCAAAATGTTGTTATCATGAAACCTTTCATATTTATGTACTTGTTGTTGTTACATTAGTAATTTATTTTATAGCAGGAAAGTTTACATAGGTATTGTGCCGGTCTGTCGCTGTGGTATTTTGGAAACAAATATTTGTATATAACACGATTGAAAGACGTAATGTGACGAAGTAGGCCAACCGGTTCCTCGTCAACGCCCATTTAAATAATTCCAAAAGGGTGATTTGTAGTTGATAGCGGATATAATATAACAGCCCTGTAAATACTGTCATAATCCTTAGTTTTGAAGCTTTCCAATATATTTCAAAACAGACTATTCTCTGATGACGCCGCTATTTCATTTATGTTTATACCGTGATATAAAGAAACTCGATCCGTTCTTTTGTTCATAATTGTGAATAGTTTGATGGATATATTACACATATTACTTCTTATAATTGTTTGTATTGACAGTACCGTAACCGTGAACAGTCTTGTCAAAGAAGCATCAAGCAGCTTCCAACGAACGAATAATTTCCACTTCAAATATAATATACTGAGGGTCAAAATGAATTCTTTAGTTATCGCCTTCCGGGTTCATTGCAGGCGATTAATCTATGCTTTGTTTAACTTTAATTATACAATCGACACGAATTGCTTTCTAGCCGTGCAAATATGAAAACATGAAAAACAAACGAGGTTTATTAGATGACATTTTTCCCTTCCCAACAGACCTTTCTTCATGTCAGGAGTTCAGAATATTCGGGATTAAGTTCCTATGTATTTTTTGGTTTGACTGATCAAGCAATTGAAGGCACATTTACTTGGATCGACGGAACACCTTTACAGTAGGTTCAATTAATATAGAATGCAAACTTAGTTGTTTCTACTTTGATATGACTGCCAAGCTCGAAATATTACTCTTTAATGATATACTTTGTAAAATGTCCATCTCATTGTTTGTAGGTTGAATAATGAACCTAACAAAACAGTAAGAAAATCGAAAATTTCGCGGACATTTTTCAAGGTAACCTGAAAATTATTAATAATTAATGAAATCCGTTTCTCTAAAAGGCAGGGTAAGCGTAATCTTAATTGATCATATTCTGATTGCTAACTCATGTTTGATATTGACATTATTGCAGTCATGACTAAAAGTACCTGCGTTTTGCATTTCGTTCTGCAATTGAGGGTGTGTGTATATTTGAAGCATTATGTTCATCTTTTGTACATGTCCAAGTGCAATTTTTAAAAATAATAAAGAATTAAGAATACAAAATTTGAAATAATCAATCAAAATATGGTATTAAGAGAGCAGTTCATTTTTTTTTTGCTTTTCGAAAACATTAATGTTTTGAGTTTGTTCTCGAGTTGCATTGGAAAGTAATGTGGGGAAGCTTGAATTTCGATTGGGGGAAGAATATTATTATAGATTATAGACGTATTATTATACACACAGGTATTCTTCATGGAAGTATCCTGAACCCAACGGCGGAAATAATGAAAATTGTGCCTCTCTACAACCTTCTAATTCAAACATGGGGTGGGTTGATGTTTCATGCAATCTCAAACGACCCTTCATATGTGAACGCTATCAGGGTGAGTCACAAGATCAATTATGTATGACCGTTTCTGTTTCTTTAACGAAAAATGGTTTGCTTTATTTCAAATTGATTAGAGTTCTATTCGGTAAAAATGTGGTACTTACCACTGTTGTCGATTGGAGCAGACTCGAGCATTTCAATTCTCCCCCATGTGCATTTTTTGTTGGATAAGTCAACTAAGTATGCGTCTATCTAGTGGCTGGGGCTTTGCATCGTCTCAAAGGTCGTCAAGATCTCGATGAAACTTATAAGCTAGAGAGCAAAGTAGGAGAGATTTTTTTCTCTCAAACTTTTAACCCCTTGAAAGCGCTTTAATTCTATCTATTATATACTATAATAAGTCATGTAAAATTACTAGCTCATGACCTAAAATAATTGTGCAAGGTTGATAGGCGAGTTGGCTTGACAAAGCTTTTTTTCCTTATTTCAAAAAGTCTTATGCATCCTATCCTACATGCCCATGCTACAAGAAGAGGTATATGTATAAGAATCCCTGCTGCATCAACGTCCTTTGGCAAGACATTAATCTTATTTTGCCACGCTCGACCCACGTGTAGTAAGTGGGTACTTTAGGATTTATCTATTGAATGCACTGAGAGCTAAAAGCTACAGGTAAAAGCGGGATTAATTAAACCCAAATTATTTGGATTTAGAGAAATGTTTTAATAATGTGATATTCATCGCTTTTATAGCAATATAGATGAAAGTCCCATGCCGGAGAGTGAGTCCATGATCTTCTCATCTCTAGTCACGTGTTTTATTAGTATGACTATGATGAATTCAATGATACTTAATGGCTTGACATTCTCTCTTCATCCTGTCTCAAAACACGAACAATATCTAACAATGGCAATCATCTTCTTATAATCAATATGTAGATGTTCCTGAAAATGAGTAAACAATATCTAACAATGGCAATCATCTTCTTATAATCAATATGTAGATGTTCCTGAAAATGAGTGGAGTCGCCTTGATGGAACCCTGTACTATATCTCACAATCCTCAATGACGTCATACTCGTTTGCTAGAAGGTTCTGCCAGGCTCAAGGAGGTGATCTTGCCCAGCCTAAAACAGAAGAAATCAATGTAAGGCTTCATAATAGGTCAAATTACAAGTATGGAACATATAAATAAAACTTAATACAACATTTAACGAGCTTTAAGTTAGCAACTGTGTGTGCAAAAAATAGAAAATAGAACATCTGTTAGGTTATAACAAGAAATTTTTCAATTCTGGAATATTTCCTCGTGTTTGGACTGTAAAAAATACAGAAATTGCTATTTAATCCTTTTTTATTTAGTATTTTATCAACCCTAAAGTCACAAATCTCTGTTATTAATTGGTAGAAACAAAGGTAATTGTTCCTTTTTATTTCGTTTCTTTTGCAAGAACAAAATGATATGTGAAAATAATCGGAAAATGGTGTAAAAGCTTTTAAAGAAGCATGATATCGTCGTGATGAGTCAATTATAAAGAAACAAAATTATATCCTTCTAGTTCAAGTTTCAATGATGCACTAGACTATAGACATATCAATAAAATTATCCCACTATCATAAACATGGCACATTAAAAATAATCATCGGTAATTTTTCTCTCTCTGATTTATTCTCTCAACGCATTGACAAGCTGCATCTCATGACGCTGGCTGAAGGTAACTCGTATTGGTTTGGACTCGATGATATCAATCAAACGGGCACGTTCCAATGGATTGATGGCACTCCACTCGATAACAATGGGTATGTGTTAACTGTATTGTTCATACACATACACAGCAATATCTTACATACCCTACTCATGACAAACTGTAAACATATCATGTTGCAGACAGAATGCAATGGGTAGAAACTAGTATGTAACTTTAATAACAGGATTAGCTGAGGAGCAAATTAATATCCATCAAGCTTAAGATTGGTTTTCTTATGGATTGATGGCACCGCCCCTCAAAAAAAGTGGAAACATTTTTGTTTTACTTTTGAAGTATTTTCATGTGGATTTCATGGAGCTTAAAATACAAGCCCTGATCATGATTTGAAATAAAGGCAAATGTACATTTACTTTTTAATTAATAGACATTTTAATTGCAGCTCGAATCAAACCGCTGACATTTCCCTTTCAAACAAGGGGATGAATATGCGGTTTAAAGAAGAATGTTTATTTTATTAAAAATATTTCTTTTATTTATACTGTGATAATACGTTGCTGTTTGGAACATATTTTACCTTTCCAGATTTCCTGCTTGGTCGAATGGTGATGCGTTTCTATTTGAGAGCGAAAGATGTGTTCATCAGAAGGTTAATAATGGATGGAGAAAACTACCATGTACATCGTATCTCAGGTTCGCATGTGAAAAACCTCCGAGTGAGTATTGGCATTATATTTCTACTATCTATATTCAGGGGTACTCCTTTATGATAGTCCATGCTCAAATGATGCTCGTTCCACCTTATAACATTACATTTTAAATGCCGCAAACAAAACAATTTATCGATTGATGAAATTCTAATATTTTGTAATCACTGTTTCAGAGCCATTGTTGGTTTCCACTTTAAACAGAATATCCCATTGTAATCCATGCTTGTACCGTTGTTTCAAAACAAAAAGTGAGATATTTTATCATTTGTAATATATAATTTGCCTATTAAACATTTTTAGTTATGTAGGCTATATCTGCAGTTGATAACCCGGGGGAAACGTGAATTCATAAAGTATCATGTATCATTTAGATTGAGTTTCCCATACATTTGTATACCATTAGTTCTAGAAGTAGAAGTAACTTTGTTAGAAAATATATGTCTGAAAGTTGCTTGGTACTCAACAACAAGTATCAAATGTTATCATGAGATACGAAATGTAAGGTTGAAGACTCGGATAAGTCATTGCCTTCTCACCGTTATGTTTATTTCCCCTTACCTAATGACTTGAAAAATATAATGATTTTCTCATAGGTCCGCGACCTATTCTTCCGGTACGTCTAGTGGCAGCTACGTCATCCCCCTTCGGAGGAGATCTGCCGAATGCTTCATTTCTCTGTCTACTCGGATCAGAGAATGAAAAGATTCTCACATTGTCCACCAGAAGACTCGTCCGTCTGACCGAGAATATAACTCCCGATAGTTACACAGCTCCAGGGAACAGCACTAATGTATCATCTGTAGTGTTAAGGCAGACTCTCCCAACTACTAAGAATGGCTCGGGATTTTTCGAATGTTCATCGGTGACAGCCAGTAGAATGACATCTGTTCCTCTTGGCATTCTTCTCTCTTCCCGTACGTATATAGGATAACACTTGTTTTTTACGATTATATACAACAACGAAAATTCCACTAAATGTAAATATTGTTAAACAGGAAATGTTCTGAATACGTTGAGATTAAAAACACTACTAAACTTACCATTTATTTTCTAATATTACTCCACTATACAAAAATGATTTATATCCGTGCTTCCATATGACTACGTCATTGTAACTTTGCTATTGTGTATTATCTATTCGTGTATATTATTTCTATTGTATATTGTTCATGTGCTTTATGTAATGCCAACAACTGAATTTCCAAATGGACCAATAAAGTTAATCTGAATCTGAACGAATGATAATATTTTAAATATATAATTCCTACTTTTACTTTTTAAGAATTTGAGTCAATGGCAATGTAAAAATGACGGAGGATGAATGGAGTGACATGGAGAGAAAGAGAAAGAATATGAAACGAGCGATGACGAAATTGTAATGAATCAGAAAAAAATCAGATTGAAATGTGAGGTGTTTTTGTTTTATAGGCGAGTTGCAACCGATTGATGGTCGGTTTACAAAGACAATATATATTGGAGATACTATCACACTCAGTGTGATGAGCACGACAGGAATGGTAGGCGAAGACGGGATAAGATGGCGGAAATTCACTGATGTAGACTGGGCTAACATTGGAATGAGTTCTGGCAGTCTATCACACACAATTCAATCTGTATCTGTCTCAGACGCCGGTGTGTATGTGACGTATAAGCATGGAACGTTGGAACACCATCAATTCAGCCTCATAAGACTCATCGTAAAAGGTTCGATTTTCTTTTCTTTACAAACATATCGAAAATATATCACTTCATATCGGTCGCAAGGATTTAAATTCACAAGGAACTTCAAAATAAATTTGGTTTTACCCTCAGCTCTGATAAACTTCATCATATCAGTAGATAGTCATTTAAAAGTAAAAGAACGGAAATCAACCAAAAACGAATCGAATCGATCGGAAGTACTTTGGTTAATAAAAATATCAATGAATATAAAGTGGTAAGTTCCAAAATTGAACGAAAGTTTCTGCATTATTAATCCTAATCGAGGAATTTTACATAACTATGGGAGTTTCATGTCCTAATGATGTGGTTCTTACCTTTTACAATGAAATACGCATTTCCATCTATTATGTGTTTTGGTTCTACTTATTTGCGATCAAGTTATGATTTCCAAAAATCATACATTTGGATCTACTTCTTTGCAATTAAGGTAATATTTTCAACCACCATGCAGGTTCCGAACTCGTCTTTTCGTGGCACTTCATTTGATTAAGCTACCCGTTTTCGAAAATCAGTGGCCTAGATCTATTCCAAGGAGTGTGTGGGTGGGGGTGGGGGGAGGGGGTGGGGTGTACCACCCATTTACAGGAATTAAGGCCCGTGTGGGATATTCATTATACATATAGTTGTTCATATTTTATCGTATTAACAGAATGCCCTTATGGAAGATGGAATCCACCATTATGCGATCGTTTGTGCGATAGTTGTTATAATGGAGGTGTATGCCACGAACTCTCAGGAACATGCATTTGTCCTCCTGGCCATGCTGGAAAGAACTGCCTCCAAGGTAAAATCAAGAAGTCCCTGTAGAAATTATTCCACTAGTCAAGAATCTTTTTTTTCCTTCTATGTCCAACACATTCGTTGCCTAATGAATCTTCACAATTATATACCCATCATCCAATGGTAATTCGAAATAAACAACAACAATACAAATGAAAATGACAGGGAGAATAAGAAGAAGACAAAGGAAAGGAAAATAAAAGAAAAAGAAACGGAAAAGATGAAATAGAAAGAGACTAATGATGAAGATGACGATGACGATGATAATAACAGAAACAATAATATTGATAATAACAATAACAGTACTAATGATGATAAACATAAACTAATACTTGTAATAATAATGAAACAATGATTATTTTATTACGTACATATATAACCTTCGTAAGAAAATGAACTGTTTTAATTTGTTTTGTTTCCATAAGTAACTATTAGTTTAATTCAATGTTTATTTGCCAATGATTATAAGGACTCAAAACAGATTCTTTTCCAATCAAAACAAGAATAAATAACAATTTAATTGCTTGGGATTTTGGACAGTTTTGAATGATTGTTATAGGTTTAGATATTACACGCTATTCTTTTCTCATTTTACATAAAATTTCATTTGTATTATATTTGTTTAATATCATATTATAACATATATTTGATTTCAATGTTTATTAGTATTTAAATTGTTGAATCACTTGCGTTCAATGTCTACCGACAGGATTTTAAAAGTCGACACTAAAACAGAAAAAACAGCGAGAAATTGGATGAAGGACCTTTTTAGAACATGTGATTAATCTAAAAATATATTTATATTTCATGCAGCGTGTGGGATGCACAGGTTTGGCTGGGACTGTGAGTTTGAATGTGGACCCGGTCAGCCTCTGGACAAGTGTGCTGGAAGTCAGATCTGTCTACCTGATCCTTATGGATGTACCTGTTTAGCTGGATATACAGGAATCTACTGCAATGAAAGTAAGTGCTTAATCTTACTAGTCATATCATGACTAACATTTGGGAGAAATCAGAAACCTTCGGAAAAAATTTTATATTTTAACTTTGTGTTCTATACATTTTGTACGGTTCAAATTAGACCCTTACCCAGAATTTGCCTAAGATCGATTATACTTGGGAGATATTTTTGGTAATACCTCAACATATTAATATAATCATAAATAGAGGGTACATATATGCAAACGGATTCTCAGGATTTCAGAACGGGTACATGTTCTGGGGAGCAAATGTAATAAACAATATTGTAACGAGCCTACATATACCTCATCTATTTGTCTTAAAGCATGTGTAGATGGTATGTTTGGAGCTGATTGTCTTCAAGAATGTCACTGTACTGATGGAGTTGAGTGTGATGACGTCACTGGAGGATGTTCTGGAGATTGCTCGCAAGAATGGTCTGGACCAGCATGTCAAGGTACAATCATTTACTTTACTGGAAAATGACATACGACGGTTCATAACAATGCTGATTTAAATTTCCTTGTAACAAAAGAAAGACCCGAATAAAGATTAAGACTTGCATATTGACTATTTCTACCAACGCAATATTTTAAGAATATTCCTATGCAGCGATTTTAATCCAACTCTAGAAAACAAGAACTTCTTTGTGTTTTATCCAACACTTTGTGCACGGTAGAACGATACAAGATTTACGGAATAAAAATACATATTGCCTTCATTCTGTTTCTGTTTTTAACGTAATAGACATAGTGAATACGTACGCATATTACAGGAAGGTCTTCTCTTAACGTTCATGCCCGTGAATTTTTTTTCAACGTTATTATTATTATAATTATTATAATTCTTTTATAAATACATTTCCTCATTTTAGTTCCTTCTGTTTGCCCACACGGATACTTCGGGTCTAACTGTACACAGAAATGCAATTGCATGAATGGCACAGCATGCCTTAAAGATTCTGGATACTGTGACGAGGTTGAAGGGCGATGCGACTTGGGATATGTTTCTGACTCTGTCGAGTTCCCGGCCAATTGTATGACATGTAAGAATATTCGTAGTGATCTTGTAGCGCAGTAATATATATATTTTATGTCGGATAGTTTTTGCGCTCTATAAATGTATTATTATTCTTATTATTATTGATTTGATTTGATTTGATTTATTGGTTTCGGCATCTTTTTTCTTTTTTTCATTATACAATATAAATGTATTATTATCATTATTACTATGAATGTATTATTGTTATAAATGTATTATTATCATTATTACTATAAATTTATTATTATTATTATTATTATTATTAATGTATTATTATTATTTTAAGTTTAAAAACAACAATTTGTTTACGAATCCTCGCATGAAAGTCCCTACCATTTTATCAATGTATAAACATTGATCAAACCCATTTCCTAGTATATTTTATGACAATTATTGAAATACATTGATATGAAATCATCAACATCTCTAGGTGACCAAAGAGCTCTTAATACCCATTGCTAAACTTGTTCACTATCATGATTGACTATTTAAAAGACCTGTAAAAGGCTTTATGATATTATACCTGAACATTTGGTATCTGTTTATTCTCATAAACTCACCAATATTATGCGATATTCCTTCCTTCATTTCAATTTAAATTCTAGTTTTATGGAAGATGGAATTTCTCCTTAGACAATTTATTTATCTTGTTTAGTTTCAGGATGTTTCAGCTCTTGTTCGAAGACATGCCATTGTTCTGGTGGTGCCGAGGATTGTAACTTTCTGACTGGTAATTGTTCTTCATCCACCTGTCATCCAAGATGGACCGGGGATAAATGCCAAACAGGTAGCTAGGATTGAATTCATGCTCCTGCCAAGTGTCCCAATAATAATATTACGGAAATTAAGCATGATTCGATTCTTCCATATTATATAAATTTCATTGATATAAAAAATACATTCAGTATCACTTCTGAGCTGCTTATATTATTCAAGTAGTGAATCAAAGAAGAACTTTTTCGATTTGAAGCTTACCAACCATCTTTAGCCATCATAGTATGTCAGGACGATCGCAAAAGACTTGATAAATTAAAGTACATGAATCTCAATAGCCTTTTGCATAAAGTTTTGAATGTATTAATTGATGGTGTTAACAAGTTCGAAAGTGGTTTATACCTGCTATAGAGTGGGGTAGGGACATTGGACTCTCCCTCTCTGCCTGTTTGTTGAACTGCCATCCAAGTTTCAATATGCTGTTGTGCGCTTTTACCAAAATTAGATCGATTTGAGACGAGCTTGGAAAAGACCAATCCAGGAGTGGCGATCTTCTCCTGTTCCTTCACAGCGTCACCAGAACAACATCTTTCCTCTGAATATGTAAAGGCAGCTGTAGGAACGCTCTGGATAACTCTCAATATGTCTGATACTTTAGGAACAACCCTCAATAATTCTTTCATTCACTTGTATACGGGGACAGAAGAACCCATTTACTGCTTCATCGGGGTGCCTGAGAATTTCTCAGAGTTTGCTTTCGTAAGGCTTCCTCCAAGAGTTTTCTTTGGTAAGCAATCACCATAGCAATGAACAGTTTCCATTTTGTACTCTACACGTTTTTAAATGAATTATTCGTTTTAAAAACAATAACATGTAACACATACCTTCCAAATAGAATTATAACATTACCTTATCAGTTTTTATTCTGGTTATTATCTATTATGCATGTTTGGTTATTACAGTATCGAACATTTTGCATATCAATTGCGAAAGATTATGTCCCATATTTTTACCATGCAATAAACTTGTAGTTAGTAAAATGAAATAATAGTTACAAGATTTCAAGGTTCAATTAATAGATTCGTAACCTGCTTACTTTTGCTCTTATATACTTTGGTGGCGAATGGGGAAGGGAAAAAACCAATGAGTTACAATAAATGAGTCCTATATTTTACCAAATGTCTCTATGTCAATTTCTTACACTTTGCAGTTTTACCAAGTTTTAATGGAGAACCAGAACTACTTGAAAGTGGATACTTCCACGCAGCCTTCAGTTGGAGACAATGGGACCCTAGGTCTGATACCGGGGACGGACCTATTGTTGGATACAAGATCTACGTGCGATCAGGTAGAAATGTCGTGTTGGCTAAAGAAGTACAACCTCCAAGCATGGTGAACAAAACGGACCGTTCCGTATCGAAGAGGTCTGCTGAGAATGCTACTGAGATGGTCATGTATAACGCCAGTGGACTTGAACCAGGATCTACGTACTCTGTTCAGATTGCAGCGATACGAGATGGTATCAAAGGTGAAGGAGAACAAGGACCAGTATTGACAATTACAACAAGAAGTCGTAAGTTTTATAATTAATTTGTATTACATTGCATTGTGAGCCCTTTCATCTAAATTCTGTCGAAAATCAACTCAGGGCAATTTCTATACATTAAGGCATATCCCATAGAATATATATTCGGATTATACAATGCATCATTGCACTTTTCAGACATTTCAGGCTATCGGATTTGCTATAGGATGATTTTTCAAAAGTATCTGCGATAGTATTCATAGCAATTTAATAACAAGGGATATGTTCACAATACTACAAAAACTTTTCTGCTGGACAGCTACCCTCTGCCCTATCCTTATATAGGTAAAATGCTCTCTTTGAGTAAGCGGGACAAAATCAAAGAAACATGCACACACTTTGCAAATATTATTGTACTGTCCAGCACGTAATACCACGGGGTTCCCTAACGGGTTTTTATTTTCTTTAATCTTTTCAAACATTTATTTAAAGGGTCGAAATGAAATACAATCGCCACCGTTCAATGAGATTTCTTCCAACTTAATCGCGCATGCTTTTTAACCGTAATCAATTTTATGTTGAAAACAATGTTATGCGTGTAATCAAACTGTTAAGCGGGAAGTCCACCCTGATATTAATTTAGTTTAAATTGAAGCAGAACAATGAGAGGGAAAGGTCAGTGAAAGTTTGAGCAAATTCCGATTAAAAATGGGAACATCATTTACATTTGCAGTTTCGATCAATAAAACTCAAATTTTCTTTGCTATTGATGACAGAATATATATTTTTCCCATATACAGGGGCTGAATAGAAACATATTTGCAAACTGAGTTTGAAAAATTTCTTGAAGGAAAATAATAAGGTCTGATTTCATTACTCTCTTTCGTTTTATCACAAATTGAGTTCCTGTTCCATCGACTACACCGAGTCCATCAACCGTTTCGACTGCAGTAATGACTGGACTAGGTGTTGGTGGTGTAAGTGGCGGTTCTATAGCACCGGCAGCTGGGGGAGCCGTGGGCGCCATTTTGATCATTTTGATTATCATCATTGTAGTCATCATCGTGTTCAAACGACGAAGGTTTGTGAACTATTTTCTATTTTCAGTCATCATTCGAATTTACCATGTATTATGCTGTAATTCATGTATATCGTAATTATATCGTAATCCAGTATGGGTACTACCATACTTTCAATGTGAGTGGAAACTTATTGATGTACGGACTTTAAGAACAAGAAGAATAGGAAAATCAATGTCTATCAATATTCTGATAATTCTCTATTTGTCTCTTCAATGAATACTTTATCGATAAAGTCTGATATTTACCAGCTCTCGTAAATTTCTCTTCTTGTCACATATTGTTCGCTTTCGATAGTTTGCATTAAAACTTCTTTTTTTTTCTTTTTAAAGAAATGATAATCCATCTAAAATAGAAAACATCGAGGACCGATTTCAGGCATCAGCTGATTTCCAAGACACTTCATTAGAAGGTAGGCATTTGTTTTGTATTGTAAGTATTATGATCAAGTTAAATAATTGTAATCATCAAAATAGCATGGAGCGACAAGGTAATTGACAAAAAAGTGACTTCATATTTCGTTTTTTTAACTCCATATAATTCTGACAATTCAATTATTCCCTCCACCGTTTCATGATGTAACAAACCAGGCAACTTTTTGAGAGAAATACAAATGAATCAAGTGTAAGGAACCAAGTATTTCTTTGGTTATTTGTTGTACATAGGCTGATGCCACGCTAGGTCTCTTCCTCATACAAAAGAAGTACATGCTAACTTTTTTCTGTTTGTATTATGTCAGAAAATGATTACTGTGGTGGGCATGCAAGGAGCACAAGACCTAAACCAGCTGTAGCAGTCAAGAAGCCTCTTTTACAGGAAACTAAATGCTTAGACCTTGATTCCACCGAGGGATCTCCTGGCAGATCTAGCAACAAACCTCTTGGCAAACGTCAACCGATACCCGTGGCTCAGTTTCCTGCGTTTATCGAAAACAACAGACACAGTGCGCTCTTCTCCGGGGAATTTCATGTAAGTTAAATGAATACACTTTCTATTAACAAGAAATATGTCTTCTTTTTTTAATGTTTTACGCTTGACAAATGTTTTGGCAAGGGAATGTGTGCTAATTTATGTATTCCTGTGCTGTTGAGAACACGAGGTAGCAAGCTCTCTTTGCAGTGCGTTCGATCAGGGGATCAGCCGCTGTTCTATCAATGTCATACCATTCGAGATTCATTGTCCTAACAAGATCTTTCCTGATATGAATCAAATGACGTGATAGAATAAAGACTCAATAAAATAGTTTGGTAAAAAAGCATAACTATTCGATTTTAGAAAGTCTATCGTCGTGGGAATTATTGTTTTATATTTTCACCTTAGGGTCCACCAAATTTCTCTCTACTGAAACGCAGACCCTTCATTTCATACTGCATACAATCGAAATAATGTATTGTCAGCCACCTTTTGCTCTAGTCTCGAATATAGACCTCATGTTTATTTGTAGTATTTCTTTCTGAAAATTATATTTCTTTTCTCTTCTAGGACTTACCTGGCCCAGACATCTATCCTCAGACCGTGGCTCAAAAGGAGATCAACCTCAAGAAAAACAGATACAAGAATATCTTACCATGTGAGTATATAAAATAACATGTCCTTTGTTATGTTGTTAGGACTTGTTAGGTATAGCTATACAAGTTGGTGCAATGAACTTAAAGCTCCAGATAATGTATTTATCGTTGTGTTGATAAAAGTAGTTTGCAACTGTAGCGCTGATTGCTGCAATGGAGAATCATAATTCGTATGATTTACAGTGTACCAATGTATTTACTGATGTATGCTATCAGTTCAATATCATAATTTTATTTTTATAATATGAGTTTTAAATATTTATTCTGTAAAGAGACGTTGCGAGTTTTATTAAACTCTCAATAAAAACAAATTAAAGATTTATGTCCGTAGTCGAATCTCTTCATTTGAAACCTAAATAGTGTTTTTTGTTTTTAATGTTCGCTTTAATTTCTATGCTACTCTACCGGAAATTGATAACGAAGATAAACGACAAAAAGGACTAAACAAAAAACATCAGTTAAAAGCTACGGGCTAAATTTATTTTGTTTATATCCTATCTTTTATCCAGATGATTCGGCGAGGGTGAAGTTAGAAGTAATCGACGATATCCCTCATTCCGATTACTTTAACGCTTCTTACATTCCCGTAAGTAAGGTGGCATGTATCAATTTATTTATACTTTAATTATGAAAAGATTGTCATTTCACCGTTTCATTTTATTATGATGTTATAAAGTGAGTCATCCTTCAATGAAGCGTCCAATGTGATATATTGAATCAAATTATGCGATAGAATTAACCCCCCCCCCCCCCCAAAAAAAAAAAAAAAAAAAATGTTATTTTAACAGGATGTAGCATGAGTTGACGGACTACCTGAAGTAGATGACACGTTTTCTACGCTGGATCTTTACACAATCCATACACAAGCACATACATATCTACACATACGCGCACGCGCACACACACACACACACACACACACACACACACTCACGATACAAACACACCCGCGCAACTACCCACTCACTCACGCACAACACACATAGCACACATGTGATGGATATCCTACCATTGGTTGAAGCTGTAATATAATTCCTTATATGACTGGGATTTTCTCGATCTTCTTTTCTGACAAAGCAGTGCTATATTAAAACAGAGATTACAATTCTCCTCAAGCTTTGATATTTGTAAAGTTGCATTTTGATCTACTTTTGATTAAATGAACTATATTTTTGTTCCCTTCACATACAGAGTTTTGACAATGACAAGGCTTACATTGCATCACAAGGTATGTCCATTCTCATTTCTCCGTCACGTTTAACAAGGATTCATTTATTAATACAAATTGTAAGACGTATATTTGTAGGTAACTCTATTTCAACTTAATATGTTTTTTGTTGTATGAACGAAATAATACACTGAAGCAAGACATAAGTCATTGTCATATAGCAATTGAAAATGTGATTTTCGATGAGCCCATAATTTATGTTTTTAAGGACCCAACATTGCGTCTATGGATGATTTCTGGAGGATGGTCTGGCAGGAAAATGTGACGACTATTGCCATGGTAACGAAGCTCAAGGAAGGAGATAAGGTCAGTCAATAGTATTTTCATTCCAACGATATTTTCACTCGAATTATAGAATTCAGATGACTAAAGTCAGTTTGATTACTATTTCAGCTTTAATATCTTCCTTTATATCTTCTTAACACTTGCTTTTGTTTATTTTGGTACCAGAGCCATCACTGGATACTCCTGACCATGAACACCTTAAAAACAATGTGAACCTCGAATTATTCTGATACTCCGACTTATTGATTAATTATGTTTATATCCTAACGTCTACACAGATGTGTTGATCGCGACCGCTGATAGACACCAGTCACATTAGGGAAAGCCCCCTTTCTATAATATAAAATTGAACATGAACTTAATATAACGCATGTAGTTACACACCAACATTTACAGAGCGGCGTTTTTAATATTAAAACAAGTATTGCTCAATGTAAATAGTAGGCTTACAAGTAGTGTTCTAGGAAAGACGGATGATTAATTAACTATACTATGGCTTAGTCGTAGTGGAGTAGATTATGCACTTAACATGGAATGCAAAGGCCCGTTGGTTCGATCCCCTTCAAATCATTATTCTACATTTGCCAATCCGTATTCAGGAGAGACGACGGAAGCATTTGCGTTATAGTAATTGCCATATGCCCTTACGATGACCATAATTATGGTAGGAAAACTTTCCAGGTATTGGAGATTGTGCACATTGTGCGTGAATAATTGACCGGGATAATGGTATCTGTAAAGCGCCATTAAACACGTTATTTTGTAATAAGCGCTACATAAATACAGATTATTTTTGGTATTATTATTAAACAAGACATATTATATTTTTCTGCTGAGATAAAAGCGTAGAGTTCTTTGATTTGATTTATTTATGTTTAATTGCTTGGAATAGATCAAATGCCGCCAATATTGGCCTAATCGACAAGGCGATTCGGTGAAGAATGGAAATATCAAAGTGGAACTGGTTTCCCTGGATGCATGCACAGGTGGAATTAAACGGACAATGAAGATGATAAAGGTAGGTATATAACAAATCTGCATATACATTGTTACGTCACATCTTGAGCCCTTTTTGTCTTTCCGCCGGGAAGACGTTCCAAAACTAAGTTTAGTGCATGAAAACACTGGAAAAGGTGACACCATTGACATTAAAACGGATAAAGATGTTTGATAATCGGTAAGAAAGTTTCTTTAAAATTCATTCATTCTCACTGTGCATGACATGTGTTGTTCTCCCTACTAGGGTGACGACTATAGGACCGTCACTCAGTTCCACTTCACAGAGTGGCCTGACAAGGGTGTTCCTAAGCACACCTCATCACTGCTCAAGTTCATCAAGGAAGTCAAAGCTGATCATGGACAGTTCACTCATCCTCTGATCATTCATTGCAGGTAGGCTTCTTGGTCAATTTCAACTTGATTTTAAAAAATACCATGGACGCGATCGTCAAGGCTCTCAAGAAATCAAGTCAATGCACTTTGTTGTATTATTTTTTTGTTATCAAGTTCGGATTACATAGTATGTCATCGTATTGCTCGCACATTGTTTTAGATGACGCCCACGGTTATTGAAATCGGCTGAGGCTTATTTTTTCGAAAGTCTTTAAGATCATGGAAATGTTAAATTGTTTAAGATATACAACAAAACTATGAGAATTAGGAATGACACCAGTAGATTCCAACCGAAATAGAGCTTCTTAATATAAGAGGGTATAATGCTAGGGCTTTACTACAGGGAAACCTTGTGTTCCACACTTACGCATATTGATATTGCTTGAACATTTTGCTCACTTTTGTTTTATCGTTCAATAGCTAGTGTGCGTGGACATAGTTATCTCCAGAGAGAATGCAACTTGACGCTAACAAATCACATTTTAAACACATAACTTATTAGTTGACCGTTATATTTTCTATCCAGTGCTGGTGTTGGGCGAACAGGCGTGGTGATCAGTATCGATAGCGTCGTAGCTCACGCCAAAACAACTAGAATGGTAGATGTCTTCAACTTCGTGACGAACATCAGACAGAAGCGACCATTCATGGTCCAAACACAGGTCAGTTACCTCTTAAACATCAACTGCTGCTGCCGTTGGACACACAATCTTTTAAGTTGAGACACTGATAAGACCGATGGATTTCAATCTAATGTGTGCACACTTTTGCGGAGACTGATATTATAATTATTCTGCGTGACGTTAGTGGAATTAAAAACAATATCAGGAGGCATAATAATAATGATAATAATAATAATAATAGGTTCTTGTATAGCGCTCATGTCTGTCAAACACTCCTGGCGCTCCCGATTACTACCCTGGCTTTAGCACGGCTGGACATTAGTGCCGCGGCGGGACTCGAACCGTGATCGACAGTCCCGTGACATATCCACTTGACCACGACACCTCTACATATGCATGTAAACATCGTTTTTTCCCCTCTTTTTTAAAAGATTTAAATAAAAAAAGTATCATAGGAAATGGTTTTGATAACAAGATCATTAACGTGAAATGAGCATTAGATATTGTTTGTTCTACACTTACTTCTTATGTTTCACGTATTCTCGCATGTCGTAAATCTGACTTTTTTTTTAGCAGATGAGATGTAATTTATTTCGAAGCATTCGTTCCTTAAATGAATACAGGAGCAGTATGCCTTCATCTATGGGGCTGTCCTTGAGGATCTTCTCTGGAGGAATACCCTGATCCCTGTCGTTCATTTCACTGATCATCTACAAGACTTACACTCTTCAGGCGATGGACGTGGACGGTCCAAGATGACCAAGGAGTTCCAGGTAACACATCCCAATCTTCATCAGAAGTTGATCATTAATGAATGTCTGGTGACAGTTACGTCCTTTATTTCTTTCCCCAGGTCGTCTGCCAAGGGCAGATCCACACACCACACACACACGCCCTATGTAGGTCTTTCTCCACCTCTTTTAACATTTATATCCTACATTAATAGACTACATTATTTTATAGACGGGAGGTTCAGGAAACCTGGACGAGAGAAAGAGAGAGAGAGAGAGGGAGAGAGAGAGAGAGAGAGAGGGGGAGGGAGAGGGGGAGGGCATGGTGAGCATTATATCTTAGTTTCAACGAAACTACTTAAAAAAAATGGCCTGTGTCCAGAGGAAACATTTTATGGACTAAGAGAAAAAATCCCATTCACAAACCAGCTCTTGGGCTCCTGTGATGAAAATGTTAGGGATGTCGTGATCCGTGAATTTATGCACTGTGAATCAAGTGAGCACTACCTAAACTTAGGTTGAGTGAATGAATACCTACTAGGAGGTAAATATAATGTATTGAGTGCTTCCAGAACCTTTAGGCAGCTAGGCTAAAGCCAAGATAATAAGACAACAGTATTAACACCTTGAAAATCCCCTGCGGTGGATAAAATGCGCAGTACGTACATGTAATATTAAAGCTGAATCAATATTTCTGCATGCGTGAAAATATACCAGACCTAAAGTTGATTATTATCAAAGTAATTCTTTATGTAAATGAAACATCATACTCTCTGATTTTAATCAGACCTTGAAGAGCCTCTGTCCCGATCCTCCCGCTTCTCATACAAGATCAGGACGGACTCCAGATAATCAACCAAAGAATAGATACGGGAACAACCTACCATGTAAGTAATGTAAGGATACCCCAAAATAATTTATCTATAAACATTAGAAAACCAAATGGTTAACAGTTTAAAATATTTTGTGGAATACCCAAGTTCAACGCCGGACTGTTATCACCGTCGTTATGAATCTGAGTCTCTCTTTAATGTGTATCTAATTTTGCAGGGATGTCACTAGAATTGGGTGAACTCAACAGACCACCCCTTTCATCTCCCCTCAGTCTAAGACTGTTCCTCCCCTCATTGAAAATCTTCTGCCCGCCCCTACCCCACTCTTAAATGTCGATCCCATTCGGCTCCTGTACAACACTTGAGGATGCCCCTTTCCAGTGGCGTAGACAGGTTCGTACACCTGGGGGGGATGACTCAGGGGCGGATCTAGCTTTTTGCTCAGGGGGGGGGGGGTTGACCAATAATGACGATGCGGAGCATCGTCCACGAGCCGCGAAGCGGCGATCCGATTTTTTTTGGGGTGTTTATTTGAACCCCGTAAGTGATGTTTTCCTGGCATCTATTAACACAATGGAGACCATAAAAAGCAGTGCATGATAACGTCTTTTTAAATCAAGTAACAGTTAAATACACAGTTATATCCAGAGTTATCATGTGTTTGGTTAAGTTACCAGAGGAGTTGAATATCTTCTCACAATACTTGCACTTGAAAGGGTTTCTCTCCAGCGTGCGTTCTTTTTTCTTTCTTTTTTTCTTTTTTTTTCTTCTTTTTTTCCCCTTTTTTTTGTTTGTTTGTTTGTTTTTTTGGGCCGCCCAAGGGGGGAGGGTTTAAACCCCCTAACCCCCCCCCGTAGATCCGCGCCTGTTTAATCTTGTGGTTATCTTGTGGTTTCCAAACCACAAGATAACCAAAAATACTTGTAAGATTTTCTTTTTTTTACCGTCTGAATTGGCTTTCACCGTGTGAATGCGGCTAATAACAATAAACACAATTACAATAATGATGAAGATTATTATTATCATCACCATAATGATTATTATTATTAATATTATAATTGTTATCATTATTATTATTACTATTATTATCATCATTATGACTTATTAAGTAAGCAAATATCATTCCCCAAAACCTGGGGGGATGATTGTACATGCCATCCCCCCCACCTTGTGAGGTGGGGGGGATGCATCCCCCTCATCCCCCCCGTTGTCTACGCCCCTGCCCCTTTCCATCGCTACCACACACGCACACACTCACCACCAACCGATGTTGAAACCACATTTGTGTTGGTGCACGAATGTAAATCGTAGATTCTTGACTAAAGAGAATGATATAGAACGTCGTGGTGATATTATGACGCTGTCAGGAGCACATGAAACTACACCATAGTGGAAATTCAGGATCGTCAGGAGACGGTGCAAGGTGGATGGTGCGGTCTTTTTTTTTTTTTTTTTTTTGGGGGGGGGGGGGACACTTAAAGCTTTGAAAACGTTAAATGTAACTCGAAGGCGGAGAGGTGATATCACATGTAATTTTCTCCTAATTAAGGTGGTGATGGAGAGGGGGAGGGCGGGTGACCACATTATTACCTGGATCCGCTGTATGCATGTATAGAAAGATACTCAAAAACAAAACTGAAATACATACATAACTAAAAACCAATATCTCTATCAAAGAATATATTTTTAGTTGTAGCTAAACGCTGTTTTAAAATTCCTCTTGTTTCCATACCATTCTAGTGGAGAGGAATCGTGTGATACTAGACTCCTCAGATCATGATTACATCAATGCTAGTTACATGAAGGTGAGAAGTTCTTTCTGAGTCAAGTGATTCAATTTTCATGTAATGTGAATTCAATTTACACGTTATTTAGTGTCAGAAAATTCTGTAGGATTAAATGACATAAATACCGTTTACGTAAATCTTCATTTGTCTCGTACTCAACAGTAAAAGTAAACGTCTTGAGCGTATGCAATTGCCAAATTTATATATTGTACTTTTATCAGTATTATTGATATCATTGATGATTTATACAAACAATATTCGTAGTTGCTGCCTCATGGCATTTTAGTGACCTTTTTTAATACAAAAACTTGGAAAATGAATTTGACAACTGTATATTGTGCGCTTATAATGATGGATGTCAAAACTATCATAATGAATCTTGTCCAGTTTCTTTCAATAGTTACACCACTGTCGTTGATTGAGTTGTATATTTACGTATATCCTTTAATGTACATGTACTGTCGCCATTATAAGATGGAATGTACTATAAAATATATAAGAATTGCTATGTGTATTATAAACTAGGTTGCATCAAAACTTGATTGTTAGTCATGTAGAGAATGTAGGGTGGGGCTGTAGTGCATTTAGTGGGCCGTGCTTCGAAGATACTGACACTGGCTGCTCTGAGAGCATTTCATGACAATGGGAGTAGGTGGTGAGGTTCTCATGTTGTTATCGGATATTATAATTATTCTTCCTTCATCTTTCAGGGAGTCCACTGTACCTTCATTACAACCCAGATGCCGCTGCCAACCACTGTGTCTGATTTCTGGTCTATGGTCTTCGACTTCAAACCATCCACTATCGTTATGCTTAATGATAAGGGCCAAAGCGACAAGGTAGTAGTACGAGTAAACGTCAATTTTAAAGTTTGGACGATTAATAGTTTGTCGCAGTTTGAGTTTCGGAGATTTAAAGACCTTGCTGTTTTTATTCCTTCTTTTTTATGATAAATGTAATCCATAATCAATTTAACATGTTTAAAGATCGATTTCCCAACGGTAGTGCAAGGGGGGGGGGGGTATTTGTCAATTATGATAAAGAAGTAGTAATAGTAGTAACAGTAGTAGTCGTAGTAGAAGTATTGTTAATATAAATAGTAGTAGAAGAAGTAGTAATAGAAGTATTAAAAGTAGTAGTAGTTTTAGTAGTAGTAGTAGAAGTAGTAGTAGTAGTAAATTAGTTGTAGAATATTAATAAGAAGGTCGCACAAGGCTAATCTGTCACAATGTCAATAAGGCTCATTTAAGAACTAACATGGCTAAAAATATTAGAAATAGTAATTCAAGAAAATAAAAACGGTAAGAGTGAGAGATATAAATATATTAAGTCAGGAATGGAGCGGACGAAGAAGGAAGGACCAACATTACTACAATTTTATCAATAGCCTTACCTCTCCTCCTTCTAGAGCTGTGCACAATACTGGCCTAACGATGACTCGGCTAAGTTCGGATCATATTCAGTTTCAATCTTATCAACATCATCTGATGGAGACGTGACCACTCGGCAACTGAAAGTTACCAGAAACTCTAAAGTATGTCTTATTTCATATGTTTCTTTTACGATAATAGTACTTGTTGAAGAAGGGGCGGGGAACATTGATGTGATGCCCTCATTTGAAATGATTTTTTTTAAAGGAACGAGTAACCTAATATTTTCTGAAAACTACATTATGAATTCAACCGGAACGGTTTTACTAAGTCGATGAAATGCGACTTAATGAATGTAAATTATCTAGAGATATGATCATTGATAATTTCGCACTTATGCTTAAAGTTAAATCTGAGTTAGTCATGGGAGAACGTTTGACATTGTGAAAGAAACTGTGTGGAACTGAGCAACTATGAACAGAAGTTGAATTTGTAGAACATAATACCGTGAGGTCTTGGAATGATCAAAATCAAATTAATTGGACTCAGTGCTGCTGAATATTACATGCACTGCATCCATGTATTGTTATTAGGACTACACATATATACAAACACAAATAACACAAATATACTACCCAAATATGAGGGCATTTGAAAAGTAATCATTTTCAGATGACATTTCTGCTATACAAATTTGTGAGCGTAAAGCCAAAGAAACTTTATTATCCTTTTCTAGTAGAACATACTAATAGGATGCAATGCATCGACCAATTCAGATTGACATAAAAAGGATGGGAATCCTCAACAATTGTTATTCTTTATCTTTTTTTTCAGAACTCAACCTTCTCTTTGCATTACTATTTTGTTTTTGAAACATAGACAAATACAAATTTGTGAGCGTAAAGCCAAAGAAACTTTATTATCCTTTTCTAGTAGAACATACTAATAGGATGCAATGCATCGACCAATTCTTATACGCATTATACATTCATTGTCATGGATTATTTGGTTACGTTTTCTTTTAGACCAGTCACACCGTCACTCAGTACCAGTTCCATGGATGGCCTAAACATGGATCAGATCAACAACCAGGGGCTAGGTCGTTGGTCAAGCTCATCCGTGCTGTCAAAAGTTCCACTAACAAAAAGAAGGAATTCTCCATTCTTGTCCATTGTTTGTAAGTCTAGGATCTTTTCAATGCTTACTTATCCTGAACATTCGCAATTGATGTAAAGTCCGTGGCAACAGGATCGGACCCACAATAATTTAGCTGGGGTTTATTTTTTGCAACCAAGACAATAATTAAAACATCTTAACAACTCAACTACAACGTTTAGCCAATAACATGTTGATTAAATCAGTGTATGCATATCTCTTAAAGAAAGCTTTCCATCGGCAACAGTTGATATATACATAATGGATTTCATCAGTTTCTATAGAGATGCCATCATGTAAAGTATAAATACTTCATAACCAGTGGTTCTGGGGATAAACATGCAACAATTGAAATACATTAGAAAATCAGGTGAATTCGGTGACGAGAACTATACAGTGGCGGATCCAGGGGGGGCCGAAGCGGCCGCGCCCCCCCCCCTATTGACGGCGCAAAAAAAAGAGAAAAAAATAAAGGAGAAGAGAAGAAAAAAGAAGAAGAGAAAAGAAAGGAGAAGAGAAAATAAAGAAGAGAGAGAAAAAAAAGGAGAAAAGAAAAAGAAGATACCCCCCCCCCCCCCACCTCACTCCCACTCCGGGGTCGGAGGGATCGAATTTGTGTTCCCAAAATCTCCGATAAAGGGTTACTTTTCACGCAACAAAGTCCGGCCCGTAATACACAAAAATCCGGCCCGCACTGACTTTACACACCGAAGATAAAGGGTGCTTTCAAAGAGAGGGAACATACATGTACATGCGCGTACCCTAAACAACACTGAGTGGGTGAGGGAGGGGGGGGGGGAGAAAAGTCGGGTGAGAAAGGGGAAAGACAAGGAAATGGCGCTAGGTGACAGTAACGACGAATAAGGGAAAAACTGTAATCGGAAGATTTGGGGTCATTCCAGAAGGCTTGGGAAACGTTATTGAATAGAGGGGACCGGGCCGGCCGCATAAAATTTCGAGCCACGGATTCAAAGTAAAACGTTAAAAACAGCCCCTGCTTTTGAAGAAAAAAATGAAAAGGGCACAATATTTTGGATGTCTTTCAAATAGAAGCTATATACTCAACAGTCAAATTTTAAATTAAAGGTAGGGCCGCTTCACAACTCTTATGTTGCTCTTCAATTGGATTCAGCTCATACAAACTCGCTTGCGCTTATATATCATGTAGGTAGTAATCATGGATAGGGGCGGCGATCTTGGGCCCGATAGAGGGACACGTCCCCCTGGAAATTTAGATATATAGCTAGAAAGAAATGAAGGAACGTACATATTGGGCTGAGGGATTTTCTAGAATGCATAATTTCAGCATTCTACATTGCAAAATCACGCTTGGTCGCTACGCCCCGGCCCTCGCCCGATAACACGAAACTATGACATGGATAGTGATCCCGGTCGGGTCGGGATTATTCCATGGTTGGTGTAATAATTTTTTTTCCCCTTTCATTTCTACTGACCTAATTGTGTGCTATCACAATCATGATTATTTCATTTTCCCTTTAAAGCATGCGTAGCTAGGGCGGTAGGGGCATTAAAAGGACATAGGAGCAGACAAAGAAACAATTTTGAAAATTCTTACAAGTCGAGAACGGTACAACAAATCGTCTTCTTTCTCTAATAATTTAATGAAACGTTAAGCTTCTGCGCTTTCCGCTAGAGGGGGAAACTGAATTCAGAGAAGGATTAAGAGTCGAGAATGAAACAATGAATTATCTTCTTTCTCTAATGATTTCATTACACTATAAAAGGTCAAAGCTTCCGCGCCTCGCGCGGAAGGGGGAAAATGAATTCAAACAAGGATTAAGAATCGAGAATGGAACAACGAATCATCTTCTTTCTCTAATAATTCAATGAAATGTCAAAGCTTCTGCGCGGGGAAAAAAAAAACTCAATTCAGACAAGGATTAAGAGTCGAGAATGGTACAAAGAATCGTCTTCTTTCTCTAATAATTCAATGAAACGTCAAAGCTTCCGCGCGTCGCGCGGAGGGGGGGGGGGGAACTGAATTCAGACAATGATTAAGTATCGAGAACGGTACAACGCATCGTCTTCTTTCTCTAATAATTTGTTGAAACGTCAAAGCTTCCGCGCATCGCGCGGAGGGGGCTAACTTAATTCAGACAATGATAAAGAATCGAGAACGGTACAACGAATCGTCTTCTTTCTCTAATGATTTAATGAAACGTCACAGCTTCTGAGCTTCGCGCGGGAGGGGTGGGGAAACTGAATTCAGACAATGATTAAAAATCGAGAACGGTACAACGAATCTTCTTCTTTCTCTAATAATTTAATGAAACGTCAAAGCTTCTGCGCATATTATCCTCAAATTTGTGCTCGCTCGCTTCGCTCACTAGCCGAATTGTGAAACCAGAAAATTACTTTTTCAGGAAAGAGGCTTCAGCCCCCCCCCCCCCGATGAAAATGTAAAAAAAATTGTACCGGTATGGTGCTTCTAATATGACCTTGTCAGTATTGGTATGTTGAGTTGAAAAACGGTCTGCGCAATTTTTCAAATCTCCGGCCCCCCCCCCCCCCCTATTGGAAAATCCTGGATCCGCGCCTGCTATATTACTAAAAATGAAATTTATTTGATTCAATTCTGAACAATAAGTTTACAAAGAGTCCAATGCTCATTGAACCTTGATAATTTAAACATGTTTGACTTTTGTGTGACATTAAAGGAGTGGTGCTGGGCGAACAGGTGTGTTTTGCACTGCTATGGAGTGTATCGCTCAGATAGCTGAGGGAGATTCAGTCGATATTTTCCAGACAGTCAAGATACTGCGAGCTGATAGGATGCAGTTCGTTCAAACCGAGGTATGAAAACTGATTTCTTTCCTTAGCACACTAGTCAAACATAGACATATTGGCCCGAACTCACAAAGAAGGTTTGTCGACAAACCTTGGTTTTCGTACGTCATATGACGCGTTTTACGCGTTTCTTTACAAACCTGGTTTGTAAAGAACAAAAGGAGGTTTGGCGAAACAAAAGGAGGTTTGAGCTCAAACCTTGCTTTGTGAATTCGGGCCATAAAGAATAGGAAACCACCATTCGTTTCGCAAAGTTGCGCTTCATTGCTTCACACACGTTGGTCTCATTTTCCCCATGTCATAGACTCTACACACAAGCGTGTTTGTGCTGACAAACGATTGTTTTCCAAAACCAAGATAAAGCCAGAAATGATATTAGTTTAAAGAAAGAGAAAATAGTTCCGTACCATGTATAGTTGCAACATGTAAACATTCTTTCTCGTTGTGCTATGGTATGCAGAGGAAAAAAGTTAAATATTAATAGATATTCGGAATATTCTGATCGGTGTCAAATCTATGACTATTTCGTATCTATTTTGTTAACATGAGAGGTATACAGCTTCTGAATCCTATAAATGCGTACATTTTCTTCCTTATACAATATCATCTTTCTTCTATTTAAAAAAAATTCTAATCTTCATTTCCCCATATCCACATAATGTATGTGAATACATATCAGGTAGTAAACAAGAAAATTCCCTGTCTATTTTGTTCAGGAGGAATATGCTTTCACCTACGAAGTCATCCGTGAATACCTGCACACTGAAAACTATGAGCAGCTTCCATACCCGATAGAGGACCACACGTATGGCAATGTCGAGATCGACTATACACTTGACCCGGAAGAGAACCCGTATGAGGTCACTGATCCGCAGGAAGCAGGTGCCACCGCACTCATGTATGGCAATGTAGAGACTGAGAGGAGCCAGGATAGACCGAAGCCAGAGCCTCAACAACCCTACTCTGTATACGAGAACTTTGCATTTGATTCTTAAATTCATATAGCTTTGCGTTTGTTGAATGGTGGTCTATATACGAGAACTTTGCATTTGAATCTTAAATTCATATAGCTTTGCGTTTGTTGAATGGTGTTCTGTACCCGAGAACTTTGCTTTTGAATCTTAAATTCATATAGCATTGCGTTGTTTGAATAATGCTCTGTATACGAGAACTTTGCATTTGAATCTTAAATTCATATAGCATTGCGTTGGTTGAATGATGGTCCTGAAATCTCTAGATGAAACTGTATTTGTAGTTTTTTTTGGTTGTGAAATATTTTTCTTTTAACCTTAGAACATAAAGTGAAACTGAAGAAACATTCTTGTGGAGGGAGTTGTGGTATAGGTGGTCCATTTACTTGATTCTCAATCCAAGGTTGAGGGTTCGAATCCCAGCCCGGCACCAACATCATATGGCAAGCCATTAATACACATCTGTACAGGTGCATTATTTTTGGTGATCGAGTGAATGTTCTAAAGCTTTTAATATGAAGTACATAATGTCTTAAAGATAAACTTGAGTTCTGGTAAAAAAAAGAAAATGAATTCTCACAGAATCTAACGAAACTTACACTGAATGTTCAAGATTACAAATAAATGTCATGTGCCAAACAATTTTGGAAGAAAATTTATACTGGCTGAGTAATGAGCATAGAAAGATAAGAAAATCAGGGTAGTACTAGCCCCGACACCATATGTGTTTTCCCATATACATCTTTCTGTGTAAGTGATTGTTACTTTTAAAGTAACAATCACTTACACAGAAGACTCTGCCAAATTTATGATGATTTTGATGACTCCAGAACCTTGCATTACACACCATTACTTACATGCTATATGATCAACTTTTCTGATCCATTTCACACCCTTTTTTCACAATGCAATCGCATCACCGGTACTCAAGTTTATCTTTAACCCTAATAAGGTCGGGGGGGGGGCATAATGCCCCCCTGTCAATTTTTTTGCCGCTGCATCAAAACCCCTGAACCTTTGGGGCTGAAATTTCATGACTGTTTCCCTCATGTCTCCCGCACATTTTGATACCAAATTTGCCATGGGTGGACCTATTGTTCATGTGTTAGGTGAAAACATATCATCACATGTCTATCAAAATTCGAATTTTTCAAAAAAAATTATTGTGTTGTTGCTGAGGTTATTTTTTAAATTACTTGTGACATTTATTTTCCATTTTGATGACGGGATCATGACGAAATTTGTGGTCAAAGACGACGAGTCCAAATCAAACTTCAGTTTTTACATGCACTTGTGATGACAATCGAACTTAAATGATCGCCGTAAAATTTTAAACGTCCCACAGAAGTCAGCCGTCACTATAAACGCGTCTTAGATTGGTCTTCAATTGTGCTCGTCATTAATTGTCTTACCGCTGGAGACTTGTAGATGTCTTTTCTGTAACTGCTTTTGATTCTTTTTTTTATGCTTCAAATTTGTCAGATCAAAATTGGATAAAATGACCCTTCGAGGTCTGATCTTAAAATTTATCGACCTTTGATACTCCAGACCTACAGGCAAACGATTTAGACGTATTTTATGATCCCACGGGCAGTGGAAACTACCTCGCACTTTTGGTCATCTTAACGTGTATTCTTCGCTCAAGGCCCCAATTTAATTCCAAATTTCCAACGATGTTTAAATTACACGAGGGTTTGTATCTTTCTACAAAATACACGATAAACAATTAGCCGAAAATAACCTCGTGTCAAGTTTAGCTGAATGAATGCGGGTATTATTCGATGGTCAAAAGTTTGTAAAACGACTTTGAATTAAAGGGAGACAAAAATCTTTTCTCAAAGTTTGTTTGTTGATTCAGGGAAGCAGGGTGCGATCCAGCCGGGGGCGATTCTCAACAACATGAAGCAAATAGTAAGCATCTAAAAACCAGATGCCTGTTTTGATTATGATTTAAATTTGAGTGTATGAGAATATAACCACTAATTTCGCTGAAACGATTCTCCTCCTCCCCGTTCTTCTTCATCTTCTACTTCCTAGTAGTAGTAGTTGGAGTAGTTATAGCAGCAGTATCATAATAATCATTGTTATATTTATAATTATAGTAAATATCGTAATTATAATCATTATTATAAAGCTTATTTGTTATTATCATTCTCATAGTTATTTGTATGCTTTTTCTTCTGATCATAATTATCGTATACACAATACGTCATGTGCCACGAATTTATTGCTATGATACATCCAAGATGTCTACCAAAATTGTCAATTCGTTGCTGAAATGTTATCAAGCCAAAAGAAGGAACATTAGAATTTCCATTTTAAATTGAAATAAATTATATAGGATGACCGGGGTAATAACATTATATCTGTAAGGCGCTTTGATAGGGCCCTCCTGAAAAAGCGCCATATAAGAAATAGTTATTATTATAATTATTATTAATATATAGAGAATACAATCCTGATTTTGGAACTAGGGGATTAACATGGACATAATGCACTTGTTTACATGACCACATTATCTCTTATTCATTCTACCTCCAATTTTTCGGACTGTTTTCAAAACAATATCATGTTTGTCGATCATAGTTCTATGAAGCTTGAAGTCTCATGGTGATTTAAGCAATCTAAGCAACAATTTCTGAATTTTAGCGACAATCGTTCGCCTTTGCTGCTCTTTAATACTATTATGACGTGCAGTAACAAATTGAAATTTCAGAACTCGTGATAAATTCGTTAACAGTTGATTCCACTTGGTTGATTCTATTGTTCGGGTTATTTAGCAGAACGAGATAGAAATTGATATTCTCATGGCTAACGACTTTGCGTTAGTAGTTGTTCATCGTCTCTACAATGCTATTAGAACAATATTTGGTGACAAAAGACGGCATTTCTATGTAGCGTCAAAAGCCATCAGATAACAAAAACATGGCAGATAAAAAGATCCTCAGTACCGGGTCTAATAATTTAAAGAACACTTAATTTGAACCCGGCCATATTCTCTCTCTTACTCGTTTGTCATTGCCTCCATTTTCCCTCGCTTACTTCATTCTTACCACGGAATATGTAATGTGTATATGTAGGCCTCATTATGTTAATTAGGGTCAATGGTCAAATTGTCTCAATATATCTTCTATACATCTATAATGATCAAGGCTAAACAGTAGACACTTGACATATGGATAGATTATAATGGGAGAAGCATTTTATATAGCAATATGACATCGTGAACATGCATTCTTTATTATGTAAATCATTAGCATACGTATCACCTAATTCGTCAAAGTGACGAATTAAAGTCTAGTTCAGTTTAATTTTGGCGATTACAAGAGGTGGGTCTATATAGACAAATGCTCATGTACCCCTTACAGCTCATGTTATGTATGTTATTACCAAAGAAGAAAAAAAGCAAGTCAGTCACTCAATAGTGTCTGACAGTGAAGTCTAGCAAGTAAACGGGTTTCCATGTATAATTTGAATATTAAGACACTGCTAACGTTCAAATGTTACAGATAGGACATACATGACATTCATAATTCCTGCAAAGTTCTACAGAATTTGAGGTTGGCTGCAAAAGAGACATAGTATCTTTAAGACTCATGTAAACCTGCAGTATTAGCTAGGTTCTTTCGTTAATGAATTAATGAATGTGAATTTGAAGTCTATAATGGTGTGTGTTGCAGAAAATGATGATATACATGTACAAATGCTAATTAACATCTTTTCTATTTTGGAATTGCACTTATAATTGAAATATATTTTTCAAAGGGTGCAGGTTTGTGTAGCGAATTCGTACGACTGACTGATATATTGTAAATAAAGAGCAAAGTCCATTACTATTTACATTAACAAACCACAATAAAGCAGACAGTTCTTTATAAATGCTGCATGCCAATGGCTGATGTATTTGAAAATGATTAACGAATATGCTCAAGGTCACTATGGCCTTTGAAAACTACATGTAAGTGAACTAAAAAGTGTGTTTATTCTTTGCAAAGTATAAATGTATAAAGTATAAATGATGTTAGATAAATTTCTAGTAATGATTGATTTACACTTAAAACAAGTAGTCTCGAATTAACACTAATCATGCTTGTGATTATTAGAAATAAATGTATAGCTTGCAAACTAATGCTTGTGACACTCTTCATTTCCCCCTCTGTATCATCAAGTGCGTAATGACCACATAATATTAAAAATGCTATCAGACAAAAAAAAATCGTTTCGTTTTCATTTTCATTTTATGTTGTTTATTTGCTTAAAATTCGACAGCACATAATGAAAAAAAATCAAGGTTAAAAAATTGAGGTTACCATGATATAAACTAAATTCTAAAAATTGATACAAATAAACAGAGTAATATGCTCAGGGAGACAAGCAAACATACCAGTGATAGTTGTTCAATTAAATAAATCAAACAAATGCAATCTTGTTTAAACAAAATAAATCATAAGATTTACATTTATTATTTGCAGTATTTGTTATTATGTATCGGGGATGTGAAGGAACTGCTCGAAATAGAAATTACACAATTACCATATTTATAGAATAAACGTATATCCGTTCATTTATTTCGCACACATGTCACAACTATAATCATAAAATTAGATTATGAATAAGAATAAATAATGATAATGACCCAAATAAAATAGTATTCAATTCCATCGCAATAATGTTGATAGATTTAATTGGCTTTATCAAATAGTAAGCCTTGCCGAGAATTCATAAATCTACAAAATAAAATATATATTTTAGATAATAATTGGTTAATCATATTGTGTGGCCTGTACATAAGTTACTTCGGAAAGCAAGTTCAATACCTCTTTATGACCTGAAAGCAAAAGACAACTGATGCTGAATTATAAGTCTCATGTTCTTATGCCATAGATATTCGTTTAACCTATCTGTTTAAAATGAAGTCCTCCTCAAATACGCTGTATATATTTGCCGCAGTACAAAACAGTACCGACAACATCAGTCTGATATGTATATATGTACATATGTTTATCTTTTGGTAATGGTTAACAATATAGTTAACAAATATATAGTTCATACTCTTACCAAGATATTATTGCTTAAGTATGTAAAAATGTATTTGTCCCGAATAATGTTTCTTGAGAATTTGACATATTAATGCTTACATCTAAAATTACTCAAGAGAATATATATATATATATATATATATATCATCTGCGAGAATCTTACATCATAACACCGGCTATTTCTCCTAGGACATCCAGTTCAGATCCAGTTAACAACTAAATTATTCATACACTTACCAAGCCTGCCAATCAATACTTCCAAAATGATTGGCTTATAAAGTCTGCTATGGAGCTGTTTTACATTTCGGGTAAAATACTTAGCCAGAAGCATCAACTATAAACCAAAATTGCCTAATCTTTTTATTTAAATTTTCATCAGAAATAATCACGCAATCACGAAATGCATTTTCACGCCTGTTTGAGAAAGGGAAAAAGCATTTTGCCATTATTTACAGTGCAAATTCCAGGTTAAGAAAAAGAAT